AGGCGGCTGCAAGCCGTGCAGAAGCGCCAATGAACAGCGTTACTTTGAGGTCACAGGAGCTGTCCGTGATCAGATCTTCCAGCGCTCACAAGAACTTGTGGTGAGCATCGTGTTTACAAAAGACGCGTTGGCATCGTCTGCTGCCGACAGAAAGCGCATTGTAACATCGATGATTCGAAAAGCAGCACCCAAGTTTCCAGGACTTGACAGTATGTTAAGTCTTTCAATAATTTATTAACTGACAGACCAATAGGAATACCATGCTGGAAAAATCAAAGCAAGGACATCACGATGATATGGCGGAAGGTGATTGTCGTGCGCACAGTCCTCACGACCTTGACTCGAGAAGGCGTTGTCATGGCATACGCGCTTTTCCCTCTGCTGGGTAGCCAGATGCCCCCCGAGGCCTTTCGTTGTGATCGCGTCAGACGTCTCGTTCAAGACAACATTTTTATGCATGTATATTCGTTTAATGCGGTATTGTTTTTTTTGTTCACCTCAACTCATGCGCTTACGAGTTTTCAATTAGGATGGGACACTGACCATCCATGCAAAGTTCCAAAACCCCTTCATCCTCTACCTCGTCGGGAAACTGATCTGGAATACGCGCTTCCTGACTAGACAAATTATTCACGATGCCACACAAACAGCTGCACTACGTGATGGGATTAGCTGGCACCATCACAAAATGTGCGCTGTTGGAACAGGGACATGAGACGCTCAGTGCCACACCTAGGTTATTTCCAGGGGCAAACTCCACTGTATTTGAGGCTATGTGCGCAGACATGGATAGCCTCAGCGACGAGGAGAAAGCTGACTTGAACCAATGGAAGGATCACATAGTCGTTTGTGGGGTCTCTCAGCAGCGTGTTAGAGTTGAGCTGTCAGATTTCGACCTACTAGTAGACCCAGACTTGGACGCAGACTCGGATATCGCCGATGACATATAATTCGTGATACCTGTTAGATTTATTGTACATACCTTAAATACCGCTATCTTTCCTTGCGAAATTCATTATTTCACTTACTTAAGCGCCATCCAGAATAACATTTGTCTCAATTAAACCAAGACAAGCGTTTACGAACACCGTCCTGAGCTACACCAAATATGGCTTGTTCAGAACAAGTTTGACTTCAAATCGACCGACTCGACTTTTTTAGATGCTATGCTGCCTCGGGTCGTTCAAGTTATGTAATGAATCTATTCTACCGTCAATCCCGAACGTCCACCACCATTCATGGTGGACAACTGGTGGCACTCGTTAAGCCTATCCTACCAAGTAGAGGAGTCTGGACGTGAGCCGTCAATTGTAATCCTCAATCTCTGAGAAGGCGAACCAGATCAGCCGGTCATGAACACCCATTTCATGATTAACTCAAACACTGCGAGTCCATGATAAATTTCAAGACCATCGTTTCCCGGTATCCCAGGAGATCCTGTCTGTCCTAGGAGAATTTAGAGAATACGTGAGGAGGATTATCCGACACAAATGGAAAGCACAAGAAGCGCAAAACCGCGAGGCAGCCCGTCGCCTCGAGAAAGAGGGAGAAGAACAACAAAATTGAGTCCAGGCGAGTAAATTACATGGCTGCAAGTGTGTTGCAAAATTCATTCCTTCTTTTGCGCAGGCTTTTTGTCGCTGTCTTGTCGAGAAAGATTTGATCGATGAAGACGATGCGAGTCACTTCCCCAGTGACAGTTTGCACTGTCCTGTCTGTTCAGAGAAGCAGACATCGTGCAATACGTTCAAAGTCATCTCCTGCTCTAATAGTGACTGTCTAGTCTCCTCTGCCATCCCCATTGTACAGCGTTCTGATCATCATAACATGAAATTCTGTACTCCATGTTTGGAGCGTCCACTGGCAGGTCCTCTGCCTCGTCTGGGCAAGTGCCCTATATGCGCACGTTGGTTCTGTTCAAGAGAGCTTCAATGGTGCATCGGGCGCCCAGTTTCTAACGACAGCACCGAACTTTCCCCGCCAAATATTGATTTGACCCGCTTACACACAGCCCGTCCAATCTCTACCGCCTGTATGGATAATAGTCGAGAGAGCGGGTGGGCGTCGCTGCTGCAATACTCGTTGTTGGTCTCGGGTGGGCACCACAACGTGCCCTGATTGCATCACACAGGAGAGCTTCGCTTGTCCCCTGTGGTCAATACTGGACTTGCGGTGGTTGCGAGTCGCAGGCTTCTTCCGCTAGTGGGAATCTCACATGCCCTGGATGTCACCGACGTTTCTGTTTATCGTGCTCGTACATTGAGGCCTGTGATCTGTGCGATCATGTGGAGCCCTGTCGCGACTGCATCAAGGACGGAAAGAGCGTAGAAGAGGCGCGCACCATGTCCGAGTGCGAGAGCTGCGGAGGTCTCCTGTGCGAGACATGCGCTGATATTGACGAGAAATCATGCTGCAGATGCAACCGAAGCGTTTGCAAGCTTTGTGCACGCGAAGGAGACGACTGTGATTATCCTGATATTGTCTGTGAAGAGTGCAGAGCTTCGATTGATAATATGATTTATGGTGATTACATTTAATGCGTTCACGGACTATCTTGTATTGTAATATCTATGTCTAATATTAATGTTACTGTAAATTTCACTAGTACCTCATACCCCTGCTAGATGCGGTGGTCTGAAAGGAATTTAACAAGTACCCATGAACACTGCGACATTGCCAGTCCTTTGCAGCCGCTCTGATTTGGAGGTACTCAGAAATAGGCGGAAGCCTAGCAAAGTGTACAGCTTTACACGAAGAGGAGCACCACCGTGTGTTAGATAATATATATATATTAATTTAAAATTGTTCTGGCGAGATTAGCTGCGTGTTACATTGAGACGGTTCAGTTGGTGAGTTCAACGCGTGTCTAACATTGAAGGTATGATGCTCCTTCCTCGAGGGTGTGACTCCTGTGGTCCATTACGACTCGATGAGCCAACACAAGTACCATCCCTTCCACTGCAATCGGCACCCCAAGTCGGCACTTTCGCAAAACTCATATTTCTAGCTACTTCAGCACAAAATTCTTTGCGTAGATATCATTCTCTCTCCAATACAACTCATTACGTGGAATGATATGGCGAACGAGTCTATAACTACACACCTACGTGAAAAAATACAATTTGCTGTTCTAATGGAATATTCTTGGGCAACGATTTCATCGCCATGTGCAACGCTGCCGCAGCGCGTGTGGAGTCCAATCTCCCTGAACTATCAACCAGGTGGCCATAAAAAGCAGACACAACCAAGCGCGCAACATCGTCATCGACGGACCACATGGAACCTATGACGCTGCGAAATCCGGCGAATTGCATGGCCGCAGCAAGATGGATTGACTCATCAGGACTATTCTCATCGCCCACAGTAGTGTGGCAAGCTGATAAGAACGCAAACTCCGGATTCTGCCAGTCTGATCGGATGATGTCCTTGATCATCAATGGCCCGTCGCGCATGGCGAAGGAAGACTCGAAGGGTTGTGTCTGATTTGGCGTTCCATGGCAGGCGAGATGAAGCCACTGATTATGATTTAGTGCGTCAAGTGCACCCTGTACTGTTGCGTCGCTGTCCTCGAGCGATGTGAAGGACGACACGACGGGTTCGAGACACTCAGCTACGACGGCTTAGTTCGGGAGCGACACATTCGAGCTCCTTCCCTCCGTCCGGGTTTACTCGACCAATGGCAACAAAATGTTGGGGGTACGCATCTCGAGAAACCCGCTGTCTCGCACGAATGAGCGTCGCCAAAGTGGGGGTGTAAGAGGAGATGTAAATGTCAGACAAATTGTCTCTCTTCTTTTTGTAGGGTCCTGCTGCATGGAGGGGAAGCAGCGTGAACTCAGCAGTGGGACACCACCAGATGCGCGAGCCTGGGATAACTTTAGACTCCCTAAGAGCTCGAACCACGGGGTCAACAATGACAGCCCAAAGTTTGCGGAGGATACTGATGAGTTCACCTCCATAATCGGAAGAACCAAACTGCTCTGCGAGTGACTGGAATTGGGAGCATAACTCGGATACTGCGGCTTCTGTAATGTTAAGCGGAATATGGATAGGATCTCCCGTGTCGTGGATAATCAAGGCGTCACAGCCGTAATGGCTTGCATTAAGAATAATGACTGGACCATCTTCTGCCGCTTTCTGCAGGTCGGAGAATAGGGGAGGCAGGAGAAAACGCGAAAAGCCACGAAGCATGCGAATGCGCGAGACGACGTCATCCCATTGCATGGTCAATTTGCGGGTTTGCGGAGACTGGTCTTCGGTAGACTGATCGAACGTGCTACGAAGGAGAAAGCTCAACCGTTTGAACCCTCCCGCCAAGGCCGTGCCAGTGTCATCTGAAACAGAAAGTTCATCGAGTGGCATGTTGAAGTGTGCCAACTGGGTCCAGAATACTGCACGACCTTGCTCCACCAGCTCCACAGCAGTTGTCAGGGCATCACGACGAACACTGCATGAAAAAGCATCCGTGGCAAGGGAGGAAACGGCCTCCCTGATGACGTCGAGATGATACGAAGAAGATGACAAGAGAGCAACTCGCTGATCTAGGAATTTTAGTGCAGTCTTATAGGCAAGCAATGCAGAGTCGTGATTGAGGATATGTGCGGAGGCCGCCCACGACTTGGCAACACTAAGATCTGTGCAAGATGCTGGGTGTGATTGGTGGGGGAGTTGAGAACACAAGCTCAATGCTTCATCACGGTCTGACAGGACGCCCCGCTGCCGGAATCTGTCTCGAAGGCTGAGTACAAGATTGTTGAGAAACATAGATCGATTAAAATGACACGGGGGGAGGAGCTCCAGCACAGCTCGATGGAGCTCGATGGCCTCATCAAGGTCAGACATAATGCCACGCTGCTTGAATCTGTCATTAAGGCTGCTAGCAAGATTGTCGAGAATGGTGTATCGATCTGAATGACGCGGGGGGAGGAGCTCTAGCGCAGCCCGAAGGAGCTCAATGACCTCATCAAGGTCAGACATGATGCCCTGCTGTTGGAATCTGGCTTGAAGGCTGGTAGCAAGATTGTTCAGAGATATGAATCGATCTGAATGACCGGGGGGACGGAGGAGTAATGCAGCCCGGTGGACCTCGATGGCCTCATCAAGGTCAGACATGATTCCACGCTGCAGGAATCTGTCGTGAAGGCTGAGTGCAAGATTACTCAGAGACGAGGATCGATCTGAATGATTAGGGGGATAGAGGAGTAATGCAGCCCGATGGAGCTCAATGGCCTCATCAAGGTCAGACATGATGCCCCGCTGCTCGAATCTATTGTAGAGGGTGCCAGCAAGATTGTTCAAAGACGAGGATCGTTCTGAATGACCGGGAGGTCGTAGGAGTAATGAAGCCCGATGGAGCTCGATGACCTCATCAAGATCAGACATGATTCCCTGCTGCTGGAATCTGTCGTGAAGGCTGGCAGCAAGATTGTTGAGAAACATGGATCGATTGGAATGACACGGAGGGAGGAGCTCCAGCGCAGCCCGGTGGAGCTCAATGGCCTCATCCAGGTCAGACATGATGCCCCGCCGCTGGAATCTGGCTTGAAGGCAGGCAGCAAGATTGTTCAGAGACGAGGATCGATTAGAATGACACGGGGGAATGAGCTTCAGCGCAGCCCGATGGAGCTCGATGGCCTCATCAAGGTCAGACATGATGCCCTGCTGCTGGAATATGTCGTGAAGGCTGGCAGCAAGATTGTTGAGAAACATGAATCGATTAGAATGACACGGGGGGAGCAGCTCCAGCGCAGCCCGATGGAGCTCAATGGCCTCACCAAGGTCAGACATATTTCCACGCTGTAGGGATCTGTCTCGAAGGCTCAGCGCAAGATTATTCAGAGACAAGGATCGATCCGAATGACCGGGGAGACGGAGGAGTAATGCAGCCCGATGGAGCTCGATGGCCTCATCAAGATCAGATATGATCCCACGCTGCAGGAATCTATCTCGAAGGCTGGCGGCAAGATTGTTCAGAGACGAGGATCGATCTGAATGACCAAGGGGGCGGAGGAGTAGCGCTGCCCGATGGAGCTCAATGGCATCATCGAGGTCAGACATGTTTCCACCCTGCTGGAATCTGTCTTGGAGGCTGGTAGCAAGATTGTTCAGAGACGAGGATCGATCTGAATGACCAGGGGGACGGAGGAGTAGCGCAGCCTGATGGAGCTCAATGGCCTCATCAAGGTCAAATATGATTCCACGCTGCTGGAATCTGTCTTGAAGGCTGGCAGCAAGGTTGTTCAAAGACGAGGATCGTTCTGAATAACCAGGGGGACGGAGGAGCAATGCAGCTCGATGGAGCTCAATGGCCTCATCAAGGTCAGACATGATTCCACGCTGCTGGAATCTGTCTCGAAGGCTGAGTGCGAGATTGTCGAGAAACATGGAACGACTATAATGACACGGGGGGAGGAGTTCCAGGGCAGCCCGATGGTGCACAATGGCCCTATCAAGGTCTGACATGGTGCCCTGCTGCAGGAATCTGTTTCGAAGGCTAAGCGCAAGATTGTTGAGACGCAAGGATCGGTAAGATGGAGGACAAAGAGCTCGATACATCACACAATTTGCTAAGTTAGTGGAGTAAGATAACCACCGCCCCGTCTCGCTGTGAAAGGTCTCTAGTTGAGTGCAAAATGGAGTGAGATCAGAGTGAACACATACTTAAGGAGTTAAAACCGCAGGACTGGCACGTCGAAGAGCCAGTGCTAGTGCGAGGGAAATGACACGGTGAGTGGTCAGCGATCCCAGGAATATATAACGGCAAGCCGCAAGGCGGTGAGGTTGAGGTTCTGTGAACTGTGACATGGGGTTGGGGCATTGCGGCGGCAGCCTGTAAAGTGCATGTGCAACTTTAATATCAGGTTATGAAACTTGCGCACCGTGAAAGCATCACGTCATTCGAGGACACAACACGATGAGTTCAAGTACTGGCCTCCAATTACATACTACTATGACTTCGGAAATAAGGCCTTGCAAGCGTATTTTACGATGATGATCCATTCAAACCTTAGTCTACTGCACAGCCAGCTTAGGAAAACGCATTCAAAAATATGCAGTGAGGCATGATAGAAAGCACAGTACTAGTGGTACTAGGCCTCCACTGCTTCGAATCATATTGGCAATATAAAGCAATGGAGCTCGGACTCTCCATCTGTGCTACTACGGTGATGGCTAGATGAGTTCAATGCGTGTCTGACATTGGAGGTATGATACTCTTCCTCGAGGGTGTACCAACAATATATAGCATCACGTGTGGTCCAAGAGACAGTCTCGGAATGGAGACACAAAATCAGCAAGGGGAAGCAGGGATTATCATCGAGTGCGATATAGATGCGGGAAATCCCTAGCAAAGGTCGCAAGGCAGGCAATCCGCAAAAGAACATCTCGCGTGGGAAGGGGCCTGCTAGTTGTAGCATGAACACCTGTTGGGGTGGCTTCTTCCAATGATACTGGATGTCACCGCTGGTGGCGTGTTAGAAGTATCAGATTTCCGGCGAGGACGTGGCTGCACCAGATACCCTGTTTCAACTGATGCATTGGTGGTACGCTGCCTGGAATGTCATCAGCATGGGATGGATGCCCTGGTCCCAAGCTCGAGAAAACTTACAAATTTGAATTAAGACGTCCACGATTACTTCAACTTATCCCTTGATAACAGCCAGCACATGTGGGATTGTTGTAGGGTTGAAGTCGGAGGCTTTAAACGTTTAGTTTCATCATGGATCGAAGATTCAAAGTACCTCAGGCCTCCTGGCAGGAACCCTCTGACTTTGCAATGAGGATACAGCGAGGTGTTAAATTTCCAGCCAACCGGCCCGCAACTTCCACAACCATATCGCAAGGTCCATGGGTGACAAACGTATCAATCCAGTTTCATCAACTTGTTGTGCGTGGTCCGGGTCGCGTCCTTCGGGAACTTTGCCATCAGTGAGTGCAAGATGAGTGGCAATGGTTGCAAAAGGGTTGGAACCAGGCGCTAAACATCATTTCGAAAATTGAAACACCGCACCATGCACATGCCATCTTGCCATGATACACCAATGCATCACTGGGTGCAGGCCTGTGCTCCGGGCTTCTACGCTGTACAAGGCTCAGAACCTAAATTTGCCAAGATCAAACTCGTCATGCCTGGAAATTTTCAAAATTGAATCGAGTCGAATTAACTTGAACGGCAATGATCAACCGACTGCCACTAAAACTTAGTATAGTAGGTTCATGGAAACAGAGTATTATTCAGCGTCGCGCTTTGATGTTCCGTCTCAGGTGCGTACATATTGTTTATTTCTAATGCCCTGGACCTCACGATATAGAAGGAACATCTTTCTCCCTTCTATTAAGGTCTGACTACGCAAGATTAGGACCTCACCCTGAACCCATTATGCAACGAGGTGTTGAATCTCCAGTCAACTGGTTCTCAACTTCCGCAACCATATCAATTCCGAGTGTCGTTCTACCGATCTAGCACCTCTTGCAGTGAGATGTGTCTAATCAGCTTGTTATGCATGCGTAATGCACTGCAATGACCTGTGACATACAACATTTCGAACGGTCTGATTTGGTGTTTGATCTTACACCGTGACGGAGCTCAAGTTACTTTGTACTTTAAAATGTTCGAAACGAACTACATCAACTCGCAGTTCAAAGGTTCTGTACCTACGATCGCTGCATCACATCCATTCGAAATGTTGCATTTAAATCGCCAGACCTTTCCCACATATCGCAAGGGGAATGATGTTGACCGTTCTTCTGAGTTTCTTGGCAGACCTGGCTCGCAGCACAGACCAAAGTTGAAAAGTCAGCTGGTATCCCAAACAATTGATGCCAGATCAGATGGCGAAAAGGAAGCTTCATTACTGCCTCTGGTTTGGGTGAGTGTTCCTCTACTCTCTATCTGGTGGACATGATTAAACAATGGCACAGGTTGAAGTACGAGACAACGTTATTCCGCCTCACGCTGTTCCATTTGCCTCGGATAGTCATGGTCCTCTTTTCATTGCCCGAGCTTATCTAGAAGTAAGTCGTCTCACGTAAATACACTATTATTTGCGACTTATGAATGCAGGGAACATTTTGTAAGTCAACTCTATCACGCATCGATTTGCTCATTGGTATCACCTGAAACAGTCCTGGGCAAGGCTGGCCCTCAGCTCACTAGTGGTGCTGTCATTAGCTACGGAAGTCTGGATATAACGGTAGTAACCACAACCTTTGAGGTCGTAGTTTTTCTGAGCGTATGACCCAGGTGACCCGGTATGATGTCCTCGTGTGCGCCGCACGGCTGAGTTGGGAGATCCCGCATTCTTTTGGGACAGCATTTATGCGCCGGGACACCGTGGTTACAAAATATAACATCAACCACGATCTTAAACCGGCTCTCGTGTATCATCAGGATATTCCTGAAAATGCCCATAATCTCGCAGGTATTTACAACAGGGTTGATAATAACCAGCGTTCGGCGACTCTCGATCCTGACCCCGACCCCGACCCGTCCATCGTCGCATCGCATACCAGGATCCGGCCACTTGCTCACAGCAACTCTAGATATGGCCCTTCGTCAAACGAATCTTTAGACGTTGACATATGGAAAGCCCATGATACTTTCGTTCCCCTGAAATCTCCTCTTGAGTTAACGGAGCGGTCACGATCACTCCCTCCCCGGGCAAGAACTTCAAGTTTTAATGCCAGGGCGGAACTGGGTACTTTTCGGTGCGACAGTGCACAAAGCGCTGGTGTTACTGCCATTGCGTCCGCTACTCACAGGCCTGAGTATGCGCCGGCGTCCCGCCCAAGTGTGGTAGCGTCATCGAAACCTCAAATCCGTCTCGATTGCGCCAGTCAAGAATCTTACAAGCTCCCTACGTAAGTTAACAGTAACAACTCAGAGATGCATTTTAACGAGGAACATTCACAGCGTGGTTAGCGCTGTCGAATACTCCGCAAGTGAGCGAGGCACTCCAGTCGGTTCGTTCGGTCGATCCGAAGTCTCAGGGCTCCGCGAGATGGCGAATGTCGATGGGTGGAGCAAATATAGCAGTCCGCCGCCTGAATCTCCAGCTCAATCGGTGCATGCCGGTGTTGTTCAGGATGTCTTACCGCTTCGAAGATATCCAAACACCGGTATCACTACTTCCACGTCTGTAAATCACCACATAAACCCGACTTCGGTAACGAGCCACTCTTTGGCAAGCAATGTCACCGATTCTCGATTCACCAAATTTTCCAATCCCTCACCGAAGGACAACTCTCAGTTTACCCCCGCGCATTACTCATTTTCGTCACACAAAATGTCGAGTGATTCGTCACTACTTCAATCATCTACAGTTATGTCTCGCGGTGTTCGGGCAGGCACCCCAGGAAGCCCTGTCTTGTGTCTCTGCACCCCTGATGACGTCGGGGGCGCGAGCAAATCTCCGTCAAAACTGGCCAATTGTCCCGTACACCCTGCCGTAGACACGATCGACATCTCCACCAGTTCAGGCGATTTCGAGCATGTCGATCAGTATGATCAGCGGGCACATCCTGTTGCCCAAGCGCATGTGTGGCAACGTGATGCGCAGCACCAGAAATATCAGTCAAAGGATGGCCCAACTCGTGTTCTGCAACCCCCTGCATTTCCATCCACCGATTCACCCCCAGCTCAGAGCTCTCTCGTTAGTGATCATGCAGACGTTGATTTACGTTCAACTGAGTGTTTACACCATGATGTGCCCAAGGGTCCCACCGAGACGTCCTCCGAGGACGAAAACTCGACCGCCTCTGACCACATGTGTGGCTGTGACTCGGAGCATGTATGTGACTCTGAGCATTGGCAGCTTGTCTCCCGAACAACCTTGGGCGTCGAAGCGCAAACTTGTGATGGTGCTGAATGTGATGCAGTCGCCAGTGAGCTTCCTGCGCCGATCACCATCAACCCGTCGAACGCTGGGATCGCGACGGGTGAAGTCAACCTTCCTCACCCTGTGCCACACGTCACTTCTGTACCTCAAATAACTGGAGACAGCGGACAGGGACACAGTTGTAGCGCAGTGCAGGAGAGCGCCCTCGAACGGGAGCTCATTCCAGAAAATCGGGTTGCAGTTACCGCAGTGTCCCAAACCGCAAGCACAAGGGAGTTAACATCGGCCGTTCCCTGTCGTGAGACCTTGGTAGCTGAAGAATGCGTACCGTTGTCGACTGTCACATGTACTCCGAGCCTCGCCTCCACCACGGGAGTTTACCCAAACAATTTCATGTAGCGATAGCTCGGTGACGGATGACAAGCTCGATAGGCATTCCAAGTGCGCAGACTCATCTGTCCTCGTCTGTGCGTCCGTAGCACTCGAGGAAAACGATAACTCAACTTCAACACGATCCAGCGTCATCGCGGTCGAGGATACACAGAAACCAAGTCCAGTATCGCACGATCTTCAAAACTCATCTTTCAATAAAAGTACATTAACGATAGACGAGAGTCTCCCTCTGACTGGTGACAGACACGAGGAACCCTACGGTCAAGACGTAGTCAGGGACAAGCCTAGCGAAGTCTCTTCGTACGTCTTTCCCGCGTTGTGTTTACCTTCAACTTACAATTGTCTAGCACTCTGAAGCCTGAGGGTGGGGATGAGGATGTATCCACAGGTCGTATGCGCCAAACTGTAGAGAGCAGGGAGGACCACCATGAACAAGGGACGGAAAGCGAGGCCAAGTCAAGTCTCACATCCTATTCCCATACTGTCGGGATCGTCGAAGGACACACGTCGAAGTCCACGATATCGAACGATGATAGGCAGATGAATGAGGGCATTGATGGTGCCGCGTTGTCTCTGTCCTCCATCAATCCTGGGTCCGAAGTGTCTCCTTCGTACGTGACACCCTCTGGGTTCTTTACCCTCTAATAAACCTCTTTCAGTGAACGGGCTGTTCCACAGGACTCGGGAGTCAATCGTATTGAATCTGGATATGAACACCGGTCTTCTGACATCGACATAGTTTCAAAGAGCTCCGCCCAGATATCTGGCCATGATTCGACTGAGAGCAGTGAAGGGTACGTCCTAAGACAGTTAGCCCAAAATTATCCTTAACGACGAGCGAATTACTGATGGTAAGCTCAACAGGAGTCATGAAGAAGTAAACTCCTCTGTGCCGGTCCCAGTGTCCTTGGCACCTGCAAAGACTATTGGAGCACTAGTACCAGCGCCACGCAGCGCTATCGAGAATGCGCAGAAATCGAGTCTAGCATCCAATGATCTTAGGAACTCGTCTTTGCCCGAAGACACGTGCATGATCGGCCAGACTTCTTCCTCAGTAACTGACCTGAAAGGCGGATCCTGTGGTCACACTGTAGGCACAGATCTACCCACTCAAGGCTCCTCGTACGTAGCTCCTATGCCGTTTTTGCCCCACTGACATTATCCAGTGATCCGAATATTTGTGTCGAGCACGATAAAGTGCCTGTGTCAGCAGACTGCATGCACCGGGTTTTGGAGGACAGAGGCTACCATGCGCGAGAGGCGGAGAGTGATGTTACACTCAAATCGGAGTCTTGTTCCAGTCGCTCAGATGTCGATACTGACAGCGATATCTCATCCCTGTCATCAACTTACACTGAGCGCCAGCTGTCTCTTTGGTAAGTGACGACCCCGTTCAAGTTCAAGCTCCTTAAAATACACCTTTTTCAGTGAACCGGGCGTTTCACAGGATACGGGAAATAATCACATTCAGTCTGCATGCGAGCATCAATCCTCAGATATCAACGTAGCTTCAACGACTCTCGTGCAGACCTCAAGCCATCGCTCGATTGAGCACGGAGTCCAGAATTCTCTAGTTACTGTACAAGGAGGACCCTGTTGTCAAGATGTGGTGACCGACCAACCTTGTCAACGCTTCTCGTATGTAGTTCCTATGCTGTTTTTTTCCTTGACTAAGGTTATCCAGTGCTCCGAAACCTGATAACAACGAACTAGCTGAGTGTGTGCACCAGGCTGTGGAGAGCGGAGGAGGCTGCCATGAACTGGAGACAGAAAGCGAGTTTCAGCTCAACTCAACAACACATTCCCATTCTGTCGAAATTGTCGAACGATCCGCGTCGGAGACTGTTGTATTGAAAGTTGATGGGAAAATGGATGAGGACACCGAGGTCTCTATGTTGCCTTCGTCCCCAATGACTACGCTGCCTCCTTCGTAAGCGATTCACCATTTGAGCGCCCGATGATGGGATAAACCTTTTCTAGTGACCCGAGTATCCCACAGGATGCGGGAACCCATTTCATACAGCCTGGATGCCAACACCAGTCTTCCGAGGTCGACGTAGCTTCGATTGCTCTTGTGCAGACCTCGAGCCAGGATCGCTCGATTGAGAGTGAAGCGTATCAACCAGCGCAATCATTCTCTGGTTGTGACGAGCCCCAAGCAACCTTGTCTGCTCAAGTCTGTCTGCCATTGGCACGAAATAATTCAAATACACCGTCATCCATGGACGAAAATCGGATCGTAGTTACTGCAGTATCCCAAACCACAAGCACGGAGGAGCTAACATCGGCCGTTCCCTGTCGCGGAACCCTGATAGCTGACGAATGCGTACCGTTGTCTACTGTCACATGTACTCTGAGCTCGCCTCCTTCACGACGGGAGCCTACCCAGATAATCTCATGTAGCGACAGCTCAGTTACGGACGACAAGCTCCATAGGCATCGCGAGTGCGCAGAGTCATCTGTCCTCGTCTGTGCGTCCGTAGCACTCGAGGAAACCGATATTTCAACTCCAACATGGTCCAGAGTCATCACGGTCGAGCACACGCAGAAGTCAAGCCCAGCATCAGACGATGTTCGAAATTCATCTTTCAATAGAAGTACCTTGACGATAGTCGAGAGCCAACCTCTGACTGCTGACAGACACGAGGAACCCTATGGTCAAGATGGGACCAGGGACAGGCTTAGTGAAGTCTCCTCGTACGTCTTTCCCGCATTATGTTTACCCTCAACTTAAGACTGTCTAGCACTCCGAAGCTTGAGAGTGGGGAGGAAGATGTATCCACAGATCATAAGCGCCAAACTGTAGAGGGCAGAGATGACCATCATGAAAAAGGGACAGAGAGCGAGGTTAAGTCAAATCTCACATCCTATTCCCGCACTGTTAGGATCGTCGAAGAATACACGTCAAAGTCCACGATATCGGATGATGATGGGCGGGTGAATGAGGGAGCCGATGGCGCCGCGTTGTCCTCTATCAATCCTGGGTCCAAAATATCTCCTTCGTACGTGACACCCTCTGAGTTCTTTGCCCTCCAATAAACCTCTTGCAGCGAACGGGCTGTTCCGCAGGACTCGGCAGCCAATCATATTGAATCTGTATACGAACACCGGTCTTCGGACGTCGATACAGTTTCAAAGAGCTCCATCCAGATACCTGGCCATGATTCGACTGAGAGCAGTGAAGGGCACGTTCAAAGACAGTCAGCCCAAAAATTATCCTTAGCGACGAGCGAGTTACTGATGCTAAGCTCAATAGGGATTGTGAAGAAGTAGACTCTTCTGTGGTGGTCCGAGTGTCCTTGGCACCTGCAGAGACCACTGGAACACCAGTACCAGCGCCGTGCAGAGCTGTCGAGAATACGCAGAAGTCGAGTCTGCCCGAAGACACGTGGACGATGGGTCAGACTTCCTCCCTAGTAACTGATCTTGAAGGCGGATCCAGCGGTCACATTGTAGACACAGATCTACCTACTCAATGCTCCTCGTACGTGTCTGCTGCATCGTGTTTGCCTCACTGACATTTTCCAGTACTCCGAATGTTTATGTCGAGCACGACAAAGTGCCTGTATCAGCAGATTGTATGCACCAAGATTTGGCGTGCAGAGGAGACTATCATGCACGGGAGGCGGAGAGTGAGGTTACCCTCAAATTGGAATCATATTCTAGTGCCGTCGAGAGTCTCGAGGCAATCGGAGAGTGTCCACGGTATTGAAGGCTGGTGGCCGATCAGATGTCGATACTGACAGCGATATCTCATCCCTGTCATCAACTTACACTGAGCGCCAGCTATCTCTTTGGTAAGTGACGACCCCGTTCAAGTTTAAGCTCCTTACAATACACATTTTTCAGTGAAACGGGCGTTCCACAGGATGCGGGAATCAATTGCATTCAGTCTGCACGCGGGCACCAGTCCTCAGAGATCAACGTAGTTCCAACGACTCTCGTGCAGACCTCAAGCCATTGCTCGATTGAGAGCAGAGTTCAGAGCTCTCTGGTTACTATACAAGGAGATCAAGATGTGGTGACAGGCCAACCTTATCAACGCTCTTCGTATGCAGTCCCTATGCTGTTTATTTTTTCCTCGACTTATTCGGTGCTCCGAAACTTGACAGCAACGAACTGGCAGAGTGTGCGCACCAGGCAGTAGAGAGCGCAGGGGGCCGTCATGAACTGGAGACGGAAGGCGAGTCTAAGCTCAGCTCCACAGCACATTCCCATTCTGTCTGGATTGTCGAACGATCCACGTCGGAGACTGTGGTATTAGAAGTCGATAGGAAAATGGATGAGAACACTGATGTCCCTACGATGCCCCCAATGACCACGCTGCCCTCTTCGTAAGTGATACACCATTTGAGCGCCTGATGCTGGGATAAACCTTTTCTAGTGACCCGAGTATCCCACAGGATGCGGGAACCCATTTTATACAGTCTGGATGCGAGCACCAGTCTTCAGGGATCGACACAGCTTCAATTGCTCTTATGCAGACCTCGAGCCATGATTGCTCGACTAAATGCGAAGTGTGTCAACGAGCCCAGTCATTCTCTTGTTGTGACGAGCCCGAAGCAACCTTGTCTGGCCACGTCTGTCTGTCCTCGGCACGAAACGCTTCGGATTCACCGCCGTCCATGGACAAAGCAGTCGAGAACGTCCAGAAGTCGCCTTCATCTAATCCTGGATCCAAAGAACCTCATTCGTGCGTGTCGTGCATTCTGTGGCTTATCTTGGAATAAACTTCTTGCAGAGAACCCAGTGTCCCGCAGGATGCGGCAACTCCGAACGTGAACACCACATTACAGAATGAATGAATGCGTGATAGATCGTGATACATACCCAGTAGAAACTGCTTATCACCAGGCCTGGTGAGATATGGATGAAACTTTTGTGTAGTCGATATGGTGAGATCGAGTACGTAGATAATGATAATGAAAACAATGTTGCAATCACATTGTTTTGCGTTGTTCCTCACATTGTGACAATTCCTCGTTTTATATCATCTCTTCCGATCATTCACATCGAAATATTGCGTATAATCGCCTTGTAAACTATGCAATCGCATCCCTTGTAAGCTGCTCGTATCACAACGTAGCACTCGCAATGCAAGGCTTGCCTAATCTGTTCAGCGTGATCTATGATATCATTCATCGCATCTTGTCTTCCTACTACAACTTGAATTATGTCCTCTTCGTGCGTTGCCTGACATTTCTGCCAACGGAGCTGTGAGTGTCTGTCACAAATTTCATGGATACGCGGGGTTTGACGTCTATTATTTCCCGTCAGAACTACGTTGTCGTTGTCGACGGTCAATTTGAACACGAGTGGTCCGTCACGTAGCTCATATTCTACGGAAGAGCTAGCCAGTTCTCGAGCAACTTAGGGAAGTTGGGAGTACCAAGACCGGTAACTGGATCCCATCCAGCGGTTGCGTTGTAACCTTCAGTACCACAGCCCGGGTTTGACCCTTCAGTAATATCATTGAAAGCACCCGCGAAACCAGCAGAGTAAATCTAACACCATAAATTATCAACTGAGATAGGGCAAAAGGGCAGGAACATACCGTAGGATTAATGAATCCAATTGGGCCTTTTCCTATAGCGAGACGGGCATCGTTGATCATCGTAAAGATGGCACCACTGACTGGTGAAGAACAGGAAGTTCCGTACACAAGCTCAAATTGACCGTCGACAGCAACAACGTAGTTCTGACAGGAAATAATAGACGTCAAACCCCGCATATCCGCATGCAATTAATTGTGAGGCACTCACAGCTCCGTTGGCAGAAATGTCAGGCGAAGCACGAGACTGATAGTTTGCTTTATTCAATTGAACATGTCACAGTCACTCTGACACTCACCATGCCAGTCGAGTTCCAGATATTTGGGGGGTAGTTGGGAGGATAATTCTGCAGGTAGTAATCGACAGCGGTCTTCTGGTATGAGGGCATCGCAAAGTAGTTACTGAAACCTCCACCAGAGTAAATAACTTCCATACAGGCCATTTCAGGTTGAGCCTGGAAGACAGTTGCATTTGGCTTGACCATGGTAGCGCCGACAGATGTGACGTAGGGGCAGGTACCAGGGAAAGTGGGATTGAAAATCGTACCAGTTGATGACTGAGTGCCTATCGTCGTGTGAGAAGATAGAAGTGAAAATTGAACTCAAGGCATACCATTGGGATTCAAGCAATAGTCGCCATGACCAGCAACACCATAATCTCCAGAGCTATACAGGATGGTAACGCCCATCAAGCCAAGTTTCGCATACTCTGCGCACTGGCGCGCAGTGTAGAACGGAGTGAGATCAGCCTCATTGTATCCGTATGACGTTGAGATAACGTAGGCGGGCGTAGCAGTGCCACAGTCCTCGGGCCCTGTCACAGCATCCAAGTTTGTCGTATTTACGATCCAACGAAGACGGGCACTTACCCTCATAACCCCCTCCGTATGGGTCAGGATATTGTGCATCCACAGTGTAATTGTCACCGCCCTCGAACGTGCAGTATGACCCATCGATGGCGTCGAGGAAGTTGTTGAAAGAAGCCCCTATCAATGAGGTCACCAATATGTTTACAGCGTTTTCTCCTGTTCTCATCCTACCTTCGACCATGTCACCAGTTTGGTAAAGAGTGACATTTTGCTTGCCAGTGACCAGTGTCATTCCATATTGGAGATCGAGGGCCGACTCGCCGTTGTAGTCGAAGCCTTGGTACTCGGTCTGTGCATACCCTGTAATACGCCTTCATGGTTTGATCAAAGAACGCTCAAAGTAATCACCTCCATCAATGGAAATCATGACTGGCTCCTTTCCGAGGAGATCAGTGGAGTAGTTCATGGCGAACATTTGCAAGTCGGATTGCAAGTACGCCTGAGGAGTGTATTCCACTAGGTAATGAATTAGCTCACAAGGTGGCCAATGTAATAGAAACCATACCGACGCCGTAGCTGTTCTTCTCGGGAGCGACAGGCTCGTATACGAGTTCATATAAAGCCCTCAAGCAGATAGGAGTGATGTACTGGTCACACTGCTCAAGCTCAGTCACTGTTTGTGAGATGGTGCCAGTAGTCTTTGGAGTGGTTCCTACACCAGGTTGGCCAATCGAGCGACCGGATTCCGGCTGACTACCAGATCGACCCTTGAGTTTCACATCGAAGTTGACGGAAGGTAGGACAAAGTCGACATGGGTGCTAATGTGTTCAGGGAGATGGTAGCCTTCGCAAGCTAAAAAGTGGTGCGTGAGTGCCGTATTAGTGTCCTATACGAAGATATTGACCGACGTGCTCCTGTCCGGAAACATGAGTGTAAACATTATACTCGGTGTTCATGAGCCGTTCCGCTTCTTCGACTGTAACATTGACGTTAATCCAACCCTTGGTGGAACTCACGCGGATGCGCTCGCTCGCTAGCCTATTCTCAACAAGCCAGTCTCTGATGGTGGAAATGGATTCCTCTGAGGGCGAGAATTTTCGGGAAATCTCTCCTGCAGTCCAGTGCTTGCCGTAGTTGGCTGAATCCGGGTGAGAAACATCGTAAAGATATTCATCGATGAACTCGATGTTACTCTGTTTCAGAGCAATGCGCAGAGGAAGGGTTGCCGCACTCTCGTGCCTTCGAGTATAAGACCATCCAATAGGAATGGCGCTGCGTTTCTCATGCACATTATATGGGCTGAGAGTAGGCTCAGCCAAGGAGACTACTGCGAAGCTGAGGGTGAAAAACGCGGTCAATGAGTAGCGCATGTCGACCGAGACGACCAGAAGCTGATAACAAAATCAATCACCCATATCTTTTATAACTTTCTCGAGCACAGAAGCAGCATGACTTTGTTCCAGGATTAGACTGTGAGCACGCGAAACAGAGTCTACTCGGTGAGACGCCCGCTCAAGTCCTCCCACACTGCAAGCTGTTTCCCAGAAAAACACATGGTCGGATGAGATGATTATATTGTCCACAGTCGAGGAGAGGCACCAGACAAGTCTCTTCTTTTAGTGAGGTCCCTGATTCCCTATCATAGATAACCTATTTCTTGGACAAGGACGAATTGTTTGTGAAGCCTGTCACGAACGTTAGTTGAATTACCAGCTGTTCAGCAAGCACCTTTCAATAATCTTGGAATCGCTCATAAATTGCTTGAGCATGAAGAATAAGGTAGCCTGTACAGACAAAAGGACTGACGTTCCCAGAAGTAGACCCGACTTGTGTAGAACTTCAAAGTGTACCAGCATCTGTATGAGTTGTGCTGGAAAACGCTACACAGCCACATACACTCTCATGTTGTGATTGTCGTCTTCATGTACCGTGAGTGGGCAGAGTTCTGTCTCGGGTATTAGGCTATAGCTTGCCGGTGCTCGCAATATTTATAGTGCCCGTACTGACGAGTCTCTTGTGAAAAATGATGAAAGCAAACCAAAAACCGCTGAGTACTTACTGACTCAGCGGCATCACTTGATGTAAGCAGTTGCTAGCCCTCGGTTCCTCACAAAAATTCAATTTGTAGTCCATTAAATTCAGGAATGTTCAATGCACAAATGCAGGCCACACGCGATTTACCAAGCAGGTAAGAGTGTTTCTGACCTGGCCAGTGCGGTAGGGGACTTACAATTCGTTCTGGACCAGTGTTTTTCCATCCTGACTGTCGGAGCTCTCGTTAACCTGGTGTGGTCCCGTTTTCAATGTTACATCCACAAGGACGCTCATGATTTGACTCTATTACATGTCTATGCTGCAACACCTTCGCATTGCATTCAAATTTCGCAGGGTTACCCCGAGCATCCGTATCTTTCTATCACCTCACCGAAGTGCTGACTTGGCCGCAGCACCACAACAAGAACGTACTGCTGCTGACACCCAACATGTATTTACGAACGTGGAGCGAACTTCACAGACAAGCACCGCACTGCGTAAGCATATTTCCTTGAATATATCAAAGATTTATTCATGTGCTAAGTGGTTTGCAAGTGCCGGCGACAGCCAAGTATATGCCACTCCTTCGATTTCAAGATTTCGAGCAAATTTTGTATAATCGTTCTTACTGGTTTCTTTGCTATATACTCAGAAGCATTCATTTTGTTCTAACGACACTTGCACATTAGCTCCGAGTCAGACTATCTGCACCCGCACGTTTCTTGCTATTCACCCTCGTCATCCCAATTCGAATGTAGTCGATGGCACTGCAGCACTGGATGTGCTTGGGCTCAATGAAGTGGCCTGATCAACGAGCCAAAGTCCTGCTAGAGGTACTCAGTGCGTAACCCTGGAGCAGCTAGGATGAACGGGGGCGCTGAAAGGGTCCACACGCGCCAGTTGAGTGATCGAGTACTTCCGCAAACAGCCATCTTTCAGTGACGGCATCAGGAGCGAACAGATTTCCACGCCGCTATGATCTTGACAGTACTACTGAGATCGAGTGCGTGAACCTCAACATCGAGGAGAGCTCTCTACTACTTATAGTTCGCCAAAAGCTCTTGTATGATCTATATCTACATAAATAAGTACCACGACAAAACCTGGAATAAATAAAAACAAGTTCTCCCGCTCCCTGCACACTACCCGCCCACCGCAAATTATTGATGTCGAGCATCTTCAGCGCTACACACTACTGCTAGTCGACATGCGGATGCGCTCCTGAAAAGCAATTGAAGTCATAGCGGTTGCTGTATCAGAGTTGGCCACGAGCTTGGCGTGATACTCTCGAACACCGAGGATCAGGCGTGGTCCCAGCACAGACAACTGCATGACCTGGAATATCTGAGCAAGACCAAGATAAATCTGAGTGTCCAGGGAAAGCATGTCCTACAGGAATGATAAATCATGGTCGCATGTAGAGTCGGTAACAGATCGGCATACCGCTGAAAGCATTGGAGAGAATAAACCGATCTGGAAGCAAGACATAGCCAGAAAACTAGCACGTGCAAAACTTCAGCAGAACAAGAGAACCACATCCAAATTATGAGCTCACCTTGCAAAGTAACTCATGTGTGTTTTTATTAACACTGTGAAACAGTCCCCAATAATACCACTTGTTGAGTGTTGTCGTAGCTCACGGAAGTGCTTTACAGCAATCCAGACCGTGAGACACAGTACAAGGACCTCCCAAACAGTGCCAAGTATCCAAGTCATGGAACCCAGGAATAACGCATCTCCCGCGTAGCCATTCATGCACTGATAGGTGCCGGAAAGAACAAATTCCTCTGGTACTTGTCAATGAGCCTGATGCGCTTCAACATTTTATACATAACGAAAGCTTGCCTGCTGCAATCTGCATCGTCGATATTGTGCCCATCACTACATTGGCGATTCTGATGGCCAGAAAGACGACAACGAGAAATACCAGCACCTTTCTGGATCGCTGATACATGGCATGTAACCGAGCGATCATGATGACTTGCATGATGTTTCAGTCAAGTCAATATCACAGAGGTGTATAGCTCACCTCCTAATATTATATCTACAACGTCACCTGTCCAAATAACTGCGTCGAACTTGATACGGCCTGACAATTCCAGCAACATTAGTTATCAGCCTCGGAGGATCACAGGCTCGAAACAATCTCACAACTATGGAAGTCATCATAATGAACCAACGAGTTGTTAAAGAATCTCACTCACCCCTACATGGTAGTTCAATTATTTGGACAGGAGTGGAAGGCATCGATGTAAAATACTCACGGCATCTGTCGTCGAAATTGTTGGAACACTGACTGTATGCCGCCAGTCAGAATAAACGAACAAGGCAGTGAATGTGAGGACACATACACAGCATGATCCTGATTATCAGAAATGGCTGGTGAGCACAACATCAATGGCTTAGACGTCCAAACCTACACAGCATACCCTATTCCAACATATCGTACCTAGGATATATTCACGCTGTCAGTACAACTTGGCAACCGCGCTTAAAAATACAAGCCACATACAATGAGATACAGAAAGGTCATCAGGGACCAGCGTTGTCTCTGCCGCAAATTAGTTGTGGTGTTTTTACATGGTTCTTTTGATGTGGGATTCTGCTCACCCAGACCAGTTCCACCTATAAAACTGTTCTCAGCGAGATGGCTGTTCCTACAATGGTATTAACCTACCTCCTGTCCAAACGTAAGTCCTAGAGATACCATAATGTCAGTGGTCTTTTTATACTTAATCTTGCTCACCCCAATCGTACATTACCCCAGCACAGGAGGCAACTGTGAAGCCACAGCCAAGGTTAATCGCGTCATCAACATTGACATGCGGCTAACTCTCCACGAACCTACAAAATAGCTGCTAATAAGATTTGCATTGATGATGGGCCACCAACTGGGATCATTCGAGACTAAGACCATAGTATTAGAGGATGGGAGTAAGCGAGTGAAAAAACTTGGTGGACGTATAATGATCACATTCGTGCTTGATATACCACCATCCAGCGCTTACATCGCCAGAGTGAGATATGAAAGATAATATCTGATTGATCGAAGTTTGTAATTGGTTGAACGTGAATTCCAGTAAAAATACAAAGTGCATTTAGAGGATCAAGGTAAAAGTGGTTAGTGCAAGTGACTCGCGCGGAACGTTTGAATGTCGTAAAGGGTCGATCGAAGAACTTTGGCAACGTGCCAGTGCGATCTTCGAGGTGTTCTCGACATTGCCGGCAGGTTCAGCCTCGGCCCATCAATGATCTAACATAGGTTTGAACGTTTGAACAATGCCCAACTACTAGTTGAGACGTTTTCTCACCAGGTCAGCAACGTTCGTCCTTGAGATTCACTCTATGTACTTACTCGATGCTGATGCTTAACACGGCACGAGCGAAAATCCGCAACCTTTCTTCTAATTCATGTACACGCTGATAAAATGCAACCACAAGTCTATACATTTGTCGTGTCCAGTTTCCTGTTATATAATATGATCAACGTGTGAGGCGAAGAGGGTAGTCGTACAAAGAAAGTAGGTCGCACAAAGAATGGGGCGTCTGGGATGCGATGAGCGGAAGACAGGAATCCTGAACAGATCACCCTCCGCATCCACGTCCATGTCACAGGAGCTTGCGAGGGTGAAAGTGGATGACCTGCTCAGAAAGGACGGACATAGATGCTGAAGCAGGAGTGCCGAACGTAGAGTTGGAATTCGAGGATGCAGTGAACTTTCGAATATGGCTCTGGGAAGCGTCGATAAGCTAGCCAACGAAGAAGCAAGTGAATGTTACGAATTGGTGGAAAGTGTGCTCATCTTGATGAGAAAGGTTTTGAAAATGAATAGTAAGACAAGTGGGTGGTGGAGAAGGGAAGACGTACCGAGCAATGCTCTCCTTACAATCAGCATTTGCAATTATCATGAAATTGATGCTGCTCGAGCTCTTGCACATGTCATGGTGACTCGGATGGAGGGGAGTGCCTTTGGTAGCACTGATACCGCTGACTGCTCTTCCTCCAAGCTTCAATAGCGTCCTTTACTGAGTTTTTTCTTTCGAACTCCGACTTTAGCTCCAGATAGTCGGCGAAGCATTCGGGAACGTCGGTATGACATGGGTCGACCCGGGTCAGACTCATACCCTAGCCAGCTCATCAATTCCAAACGGATCAACATAATCCCTGTCCCCCCCCTCACTCCCGTAAATAACTCAGCAGGTGGCGTCGTTGGCATTATTACCACAATCTCTCTCCATTGGCTCCTCTTCTACCTATGCTGTCACAGAAGGCAAGATGGGTTTGACAGAAACTTTAACCCTGAACATGTCGTAGCTCATCCCTAGGGGCAGCACCCTGCCCCGGGACCTCGGAGAAAACAAGGTCGCCACGCTCTTACCTTACCCTGAGCGTGGTGGGAGTATGCTTTCTCATTTACAATTGCCGCGTTTCATTTACTCTCATCGTTCTACGTCACGACCAAAACTTCGGACGCACCAGGGCGTGATAATGATGGCCACAAGAAGACACAATGATATTTTGCGCACATAACGTGCTTGTAATAGTAAAGTCATGTCCCTTGCAACGTAACACGATCTTGCAGCGGCCAGCCATGTCTCAAACACGGATCCATCTGTCATTATCAGTATCGGTACGATAATTGAAATAAGGATCAGCAAGTTGACTAACATAAGCATCCAGTCGGACCGGTGTGTCGAGGGGGTGGTGTGTTGTCGCTCCGACACGAATATGTAGTATCCCGAATCAAGTGCGAATTCAAGCGCATTTCGTGTGGGGACCTTTCGATCGCAACTAGTGGCTCTACTCGGTGTGTACAATTCAATCTTGATATTGCTGATCTGACGTTACAAGTAACCGGTTTGTAGATATTCACGATCAATGTGCTACAAGCTGCGAGCCCTTAAATTCGGAGAGCAACGATAGCTTTCTGGGTGCTAGGTAAAGCATACCCTGCAGAGGGCTGTGTGAACTAAGATAATCTGACGACGTCACTGGATCTCCAAATACGTCCAGGTCGGACACGCTGTGCATTTGCCAAAAAGAAGGCATGCTAAAGCAACAGTGAATTTGTTAGATTGGTTTTATTCTGTTTTAACAGCCCTCATTTCTGACCGTGCCTTTTTTAAAAAAAATAAAAATAAAAATCCATTCATGCCTGGCTTCCTGCAGGGTTCTCGTTGTCCTTTGATCAATAAACACCTCCACCGCAAGCGCAAGACCATTTCCTCATAGAATGTGTACAGTCTCGTAGAGAAAGAGTCGCCTTCGACACCATCATTTATCTACACAGGTGCATCAATGCTACGAAATGACTAAAAGCAATTTTTAGCGAGATACCTTGGCACTCGATCGTTCGAATTGTAACACACCTGCAGCGAAATGTGAATAGATCCCTCAAATACGCTCAATCGCCCTACGCGTTACTAGATTCCTTGGAATTCCTGTATTTTATCAGCATTCATGTTACCCACCCGGAATTCACCAGATCGTCAAGGCCCATCAGTGAAATGAAGGCTACGGTCCGCCTCGCTGGCATACTGACCATTTTCCATTATCACATCTTCACCTTTACAGATTTCTTTATCGATCGAAATTAATCTGCTTGATGTGGACTAGAACGTGTTAGCCCTTCAGTACTAGTCTAGCCCTTACATACCGCGTATTAAAGTGACCTCATCTCCGAAGAACCGTGCGTCTGAAATGGTTAGGGTTGATCAAAGGAGGTCGAACCTTCTTTGTAGACACGAAACCCCCAAAACACCCGTTGAGTAGAAACCTTTCGTGGGCAGATCATAGTCTCCCCTAATCAGACCGTAACAGAAGGACACAACTTACGAGTACACGCGAGGTTGGACTGTGTTGTTCAAACCTAATTGGTCCTGGACATATAGTAGTACTAGGTGTGTTTGCGTCCCAGAGTACTTATGGTTATCCCCTCAGTGAAACTACTGAACGCTCCTAGTACCAACCTATCAAGTTGAGCCCGCAGCCTGTGATCACGTCAATTTTAAATCAGCTAATGAAATGCGGCATGCCCCGATCGAGATCGTAAGCTGAATGGTGTTCTTAAATTAAGGTTTGAACGCCCATCTTGATAGGTTCAAAGCTTATTCAGAAGAGCTACTTAAGAAGGCGTATATAGTAATGAGCGCGTGAAGCCCTTTTTCTTTTACCCCCCAACGAATGCAGATGGAATATTCAGCTGACGAGATTGAAGCGGCCAGGAATCTGCAGTACTTAGCGGTGCGTCGCTTCTTAACATGATGGCAAGGCAATAACAGACACCATGGGCCACTAGTACATATGCAGTGCGTGCTGTTTAAACTACTTGTTTCGTGTTTTAACCTGACAGCCGCTCAGCGTCAATGGCGACATTCTGGGTAAGCCTCTTGTTCCGATCTATCCCGTCCACCGTTAAACTCGCTTATCCAGATTTATGATTATGTTTGCTCACTTCACGAAGAGGTGATGCACTTGTCCTGCAATACTCTTCGGTTCAAATATTGATAGCATGCTGTTCAAAGTTGAAGTTCCTGCGTCAATCGCGCTGGACCAAGGTAAAAGTCCTTTATATCGTTGCGCGATATATCCCCTTTTTATTCATCATCACGGACGTATATCGTGCGTTCAATCCCTGTACACACCCCCTGTATTGAATTGACATGTTATGTTTCAGTGAATTTCTCCCCGATCGAGAATCCTAAAGTATGTGAATGTGTAGTGGTATTTTTTACCCGTTGATGAATGACGCTGACTGCATGTCATCGCCAGAAATGCAAGATACTGGTCAATATTTACTCAAGTACGTTCACGGTACATGCTACATGCACATCTGTCGAGTGCTGCTCTTTCTTCCTACAGGTTTCGGAATAATATCACTCACTTGCTCTGAATGTATCTCTCCTTCCTCCGTGGCATACACGTGCTTCTGATCCGATTCCTCCAGGCTTTTTTGTGCTCAGGACATATGCGCTTTGGAACAGCAGTAGGATTGTACTTGTAGCCATGCTGTCCACCCTTTTTGTGAGTCCCATGCCCTCAACACACCCCGATCCCATGGTTGATAGATCACCCAGGCTATCATCGTAACGTTCACCAGCATTTGTCTTAGCGCTATCGCTACCTCTCATGGTTTGTGCTCTCACCTTCCCCCGCTACTATTCGCACGTATTAACTCCACCTCACAGTTACGACTAGCGTGGTCCCAGGCATCACAGGCTGCTACCGGAGCTCAACCAGTGTCCAATTCTTCATGCCGTTTCTTCTCTTGTTTGTCTTTCAACTTGGTATGTCGCCGGGAACTTGGAGCATACATTACAGGGACGCAATGACTGACGCTCTCCCCAGGACTGGTCACCCTAACAGTCATACGTGCCTTCCAGACCTGGCGAACGTCCAACGGTGGCATGCACGCCGTTCTGGTGAAGCATAACATATTCTACTATGCATGTGGTCTGTGTGAGTCGGCACTTCCATATATTTCTGTCCTCATCGGTGATGATTATTGTCTCGAAAGTTCTCTCGGCTGTGAATGTCCTTGCACCAGTAATGTTTTCTACTGTAAGTAAATGTCGCTATACTCATCAGTGGGATCGAGTCACTGATGTTCCGCACATCCAGCCCTCATATTACTCCCTCCTCGAAGAGTATGCGTCTTCAACTTCTGTTGCGAATTTCTACTGATAACACACCTATACACATGCAGTTTGCAAGCCTTTATCCTTGCGATCCTCGCCACGCGCATGCATCTCCATCTCTGGCATATCGACCGGCACGCGTACGGCTCTGAGGTCCTCGTGTGCATGTCCGACATGTCGTCTGCAGACCGTACGGCCACTACTACGGTGTGACGTTTAATCGTATGGTATTCGTTGTCGGCTCGGACTAGGAACGGGAACGGGACTTTGTATGGAGTCAAAGACTCAAGAACGATATTCGACGGGGAGAGGTATTAATACGCTGATTGAGACGGAGAATCAAAGGAGAACGTGTCTAACGCATGTAACGAAGAGTGATTGTGTATGAAAGGAAGAGTACGTACGAGAGTGACGTCGATAGACATGTCATTCATGGAGCGAGAACTGGACTACGAAATCACCGGTCGTGGGTGGCTTGGCGTGATGAGTACTACCTTTTTGTTTTGAATCATGATGTCGCAGAGCCGACGCTACGCAAGTTGTTTGTAGACTCTCATGATCAATGAAGAAAACTCCCGCCCGATGCAACATGTTCTAGAATTCCGCCCCACCACGCTCACCCCATCCACGAACTTACTCTCTGTAGATCTCTTTTCCTGCAGAGTAAGCCCCAGCAAGTTGGGTTAGCACACCAAGATGAAAGTGGGCTCTTTCGGCTCGTATGCTTCTCAGGCGTCCGGCGCAGGATGACGCCTGACAGACTGCTCGCATGATCCATCACTGCAAATAGTTGACAAATCCTGACCCATATCGATTTTATGGCACTCGTGCTCCACCATATCATAGTCTTGAACGCGGCTGAATTTACAACAAAACCTTTATTTTAAAGTTTTGAAACATGGGACTCAAAGTACGTTTGGGGAAATCGCTAAACTTGGATAAAGCTGGGCCGATCCGCCCAGACTGTTTGCTGCGCAGCCAATCCATTATTATTTCTTGGAATCGGGGACTGGCGCTTCCCAGCGCCACTACGATAATGTAGGCATGGTGAAATCTACCAGGAATGTGTTACCAGTACTTAGCGAATCAACTTCTCCTCCCTCTTCTTTGCACGTGGTCGACGATTTTGATACGAAGACCTTCGATGCTACGGTGCTGCTACTCCACCGAGTATGTGGTATGTGCTCAAATCCCTCGATCTGTATGTCACAATCTCAGACCCTAAATGCAGTGACGCCTATATTACTATTCAAACTCTGCTCGCCATCGGGTTTCTTCCTGGACATATGCGACCAACAATTGGATAGGTATCAGTTCGCATATTGGTTGATCAACAGACTACCGTTACTCAAAGGAATTACAGTGCAAGATAGTACTTAGGTAGTGTCCATAGGGCTTGGTCGTATACTTGATCTAAAATGCCTTCTAAAGTCGTGAGAGTCAACGTCCCCCTAGTGTGCCGGGGTGAAGAACGAGGTCTATCTCTGGTACGCTGAGACCACTCGTCGCTCTACAGGACACTATTTAGTCAAAGAAAAAAGTATGCACTTACTTTAAGTATGTCGCGGCCAAGGTCGTCTCTATCTTCAACCTTCAACGTAATCTTCTTGCCATGCTCAGAAATTGCAGCCCCTGACTTGATCACATTATCCCGATATCCGCAGTCGTCACAGTTAGTTGACATTATAAGAGTGCCCTGGTGGGGTTGCCAAGGATGCAGGTTCAGTATGCCTTCGATACACGCCTTGAAATAGGGTATAGAAACTTTTTTCATGCGCGTGATAAGTGGTCGTCCACAACGCGAGCAGATCCCAGGGAATTCGGACACTTCCTCGTTCAGACCCCCTGGTTCCTGTTCCACCTCGTCTGCTGCATTTTGTTCCACGTCGTCCGCAGGAGGTGCCAATCCAAGGTGCCGGTTCTGCTCAAGCGACCGCTCGTGTATGTTCCACTCCAGATCGGACATGCTGCCCACGAACTCGAGGAACGAATTTCCAGATGGATTGTCTAGAGTGATGGTGATTGCAAGTCTGACTGGATCCTCGTTCGAAGGTTCTCTCTTCTCAAATTTGACCTTGCCTTGGTCTTCGTCTTCATCATCGGCAATTTTAGCGTAGGCGTTCTCGTCCTGAATGCGTCTGAGCGGCTGCTGTACACTGAGATCCGCGACGATGTCCCGTAGGAGACCCTCGACAGTTTTAGGTTGCCCACGGGAAGGCGGAAGAACCAGCTGAAACTCGGGGATGTTGATACTACATACTTCGGAGCGGATGAGCTGGCGGTCAAGGTCCGGCCGCAATTGATGACTTTTACTGTGTACATAGTGCCTTCAGTTGTCTCAGAGATACAATGGTAGGAGGTAGAAGCAAGGAGATGAAACAAGTGCGCACATCTGATCTTCCCCGCCGACTGGAATCACTGGATATCATTGTTTGAGTGGCCGCAATGTTCGCAGCGGAAACTCATTACGCAGCCATGACTTCCCGGAAGAACGAAATGGATGTAAGCATCATGCGTGTAACTCCCTGATGGACGTGAGTATTCCACCAATAATCAGGATGTTTGCAAACCTACCTGCTCCCCACATTGCATGCAAAGAGACTCGATCTCTTCGAGTGGTCTAGCAGAGATATCTTCATCTCCGGCATGGGTTTTATCAACAACGTCTGAGATAGGAGGGAAAGTTCGAATTTTTCTTCAGTTTGAACCATGTGCTAAAAGGTTGGATGGAGAAAGGGGAGGTCTCCCGGCAGAGTCCAGACCTCTAGTAAGTGGTCACGAAATTCGAAGCTTACGATTAGGTAACACGGATTTCCTCTCATTAATGACCATCAAGTACATTTCGTTGATCGTAGTAACTCGTCCAGATGTAAATAAATCATGTAATACATTAAAACTATGTAGTCCTCCGAATGCGCATCGGCGGATGAATATTCAATATTCATTACCCATCTTCCTTAGCGCTCACAGTAAATGTCAAAGCGGCGAGTCGCTTCTTTATCCGTCTGTAGTCGACCCTCGGTCAATCAGCCTTCCTTTGTGCAGACGTGAACGGCGCCCCATTCCCGTAAGAGATTCATGAAATTTCATCTATTGAGCGATCATCCCATCCCATACAGTCTTTTACGTGTTTAATGAATTGATATTTATGAATAACACTAATATCTCGTGAACAGCACCAAAACAACACAGCGTATAACGCTCGACAGCAGTCAAAACACGAAAACATATAGGTCCTTAATATCGCCATCAGCGAACGAGGGGCTCTGAAAAATAAGACAATCAGCATGGGATCACGTATTCTGCAGCACAACGATAGCTTACCTTCAAACCAATCAACCTTTGTTCATCGATCATCACGCCCGAAAAACCTTTAAGCTCATCCCTTCGACAAACGCGATAGGGTAAGCTTGTCTCAACAGGTCCCGAGAAAATGCCGTCCGACAAGATGATCGAGGGATAATCAATGACCTCTATACTCGCTTTGGAGTCCGGCTGCTGAGGGAAGACATGCCGCTTGGTTTTGCGTACATTGAAGTCTAACACTTGCATGTTGCCGGATTGTAGCGGAAAGACTACTCGATAACCATGGACGTATCTACTCAAGGTTGATCAGCGTGTGGTCGCGGCAGGGTTTTTTCAGCTCCTTCTTACCTTAGCCACTGATATGGAACTTGATGATGGAGCATGCGGCTCTCGCGCGGGCCCCACTCCTCCCAAGGCACCTCCAAGGGGTTTGTTTCTCCTTGTTCACGGTATTTCCGTATGTATCTGAGGGGAGTGTTATTCTTAAAGAAGAGAAAAAATCTCGGCCTGGCGCTAGGGACATTCATGTCCACCTGGACATATTGCACGGATAGAACATACATCCGCTCCTCCTGATTGGTCCAGAATGGCGTGTTCGGAAGACACCTTGCAACAAAAGGACCGGTATGAATCGTGCAGTGTACCAAATGGGTAGACTTCATGGGAGGCAGTGATAGGCTCGCGACATGGACGATCTCGTGTTGCTTTTCCCCAAATGTAAAAACTTGGATCGAGCCCCCGTCTGTCCGGATCGTGATCATGTACGCACGGTTCGAGATGAAGGAAAAGTCGCTGATATGACTGGGCAAGTCGTCGCCGTCGCGATCCTGTAAAGCCACTGTTGGCTATGAGCTACTAGGCGTTCATATATAGGGGCTTACGACAAGTATTTGTCCCGTCTTCCAGTTCCAGATTGTGATGCGAGGATTTTCAAATTCCATCCAAAACATCATCCCAATCACATCGTCCACGATTTGTATGAATGCACTGGTCATCGTGGATTGGGTGAGGGTGCGAATAACAGGAGATGATGCTTCGGGGTGCTTGACGTTGGAGGAGATTGTGCGTATGTGCACGTCCGTATAACTAGAATTATTCACGCTGCATCCAACAATTGGTTATCTGTGCGACAGAGAGCAAAAAAATGATGAAGACATACAAGTCGTCATCACATTGCACAAGAGCGATAAGATCTTGCGATGGGTCGATAGCGAAGTCTCTCGTTGAGATTCCTATGTCTTTCCGAACCAGCGTGTGTCCAGGATCCGACGAGGATGGCAACCAGGAGGAAATGAATTTCCGTGGACCGGATTGATTGTGAATGCCTGCTGGAGAGGATGTCTTCGCAAATACCCCTCCTACAAGCTCGTATGCGTGGCAGAAAACCATGCATGGGAACCTGAACCTCTTTCTTCCACTCAAACAAGGTCCACGCACGACGAAGGGTCCGAAGTTGTTCCAGACGCTCTGCAACGGTGACGGTGCTCCGAGGGCCATCGAGCATGCAGTCGAGAGCAAGCTCGATATGATACTGGAGCTCTGTAGAGGAGTCAATCACCCTGTTCAATTTGCGGCAGACCTAGAAATTAGTCAAGTTTAAGGCCACAAGAAAAGAGCAGTATGGCATACGTACAGAGGAACACCGCGAGATAGATTGACCATCTACATGACGAAGAATTTCTATTAGTAGCTCAGAGGGCAGGAGGATCAAAGTAAGTGTTTCCGAATCCTTCATATCTGCCTTTATGGTGGGCAGGCTGCCCACCGCTGTGGTCTGGCTTGTATCGAGCTTTGGTGCAATCATAGTAGCTGACTGCAAATCCCGCTGCAGGCGCTTAGACTTGGTCAATGGTGGGTGCTACTACCCAGCGTGCAACTTTATTTCGTTTGAAATGACACGGCTGCAATTGGACTTTGATTAGCTTTAATTGGACTTGTGGCGCACGGGCTTGAAAATTTCGATTCTACTGCTATTCAAGAAGGAACGACTGTCACGGTCTATCTAGGGGAGACTAACTACGATTGATCTTATTCGTTGTCCTAAACACGATTGCGAGTAACGATATCGCATGCAACAATTGATGGCTCGAGCATTGGTCCTGAGGAAACTACAACTCGAGCTCGCTAGATTCAACACAAAATCAGTCGCAGCTGTCCTCAGCAGAACTGTTTCCAATACCTAAAGTCTGCCCAGCTTGATGAGATTGCGCAGTTCAAGGTTACAGTGGTTGTCGAGGCGCCGATGCATCGATGATGTTTCGGCAGCATCTGCAGACGTGATTTTATTACAATCTGCATGAGACACGACTCTAATTATGGCCCTTTAAGAACTCTGTTGCTTTACTAACGAGCTAAACTTATTTATGCTGATGACCAGAAGTCAACGCCACCGATTGTAGAGTCTGGACATATTGATGATACTACGCTACAGCACTTGTGACATTGGCATGGGGCATAGGATATAATTTTGCTACTTGGTCCATAAAAATACACGAAATTGCCGTCGTCGTCGTCGTAACATCTGAGACCCGTTGAGCATCCTGCTTCATCTATGGATAGCCGTAAGCACGCGGTCTAAGGTTTGCACGTTCGGATCAAACGAGTTTTGTTACACATCAATCTCATCGAGATCTCCGTTCAGGGGTGCATCAATAGACTGAGATCTATTTTTACGGCCACTACCGTTCGCTCGTCACTTGCTTGTCTCATAATCACAAGAACATCGTTCGCCGCCATGGCAAGATGCTCGTGTTGTCGCTGAAACAGGAAGAAGATGGATGTCACGAGGTTTGCATAACTCAAAGATAATCCTCCAAAGAATATATGAGTGGCGTACCTTCACAACGTTTCGTCATTTATGCAGTGCTGGTCAATCCATCGAGGAAACAGTTTCACTCATATAAGCTCCTTCTCCATGATATCATATTACATGCTAATAGCATTCATTGGATTATTTACGACGAGTTAAGCGTCCATGTACAACATTTATAGCGCAATGATCGACTGTAGTAATCCATATGCACGATGCACGATGCACCACAACCCCAGCTAAACAATCAACACTCAGCAACATCCTCTCCCATAATCTTCGCCACCAAGTCATTCCCCTCATGCACAGGCGCGTCATACACAGCAAACGCCGCACGCTTCCCAGCCCCACTCTCCTCGCTCTTCCATCCCTTCTTCCTGTCCGTAAACACAGCTTCACTCCGATCAAGCAACATATTGAGGTCTTCGTCTGACAACACCCGCTTCTTACCCTCCACAGACGTATTTGTCACAACGTCAATCTGCTCGCCTTCTAGCTTTAAGAGATCAGCTGCAAGTTCTGTCATGGATTGCGGGTTTGATTTAGGTGCTCCTTGTCCGGGGAGCTTGAATTTGCCTGCGATGGCATGTGAGTGACAGAAAGATGGGAGTTGGAGTAGGACCTACCCTTGGCTATAACAAGCGCCTCAAGCTTCCTCTTTTCAGTCGCGCGATGCATGATCCTCGTCTCAATAGTATGCGCTGTGACGAGTCGGAACACTAAAACGGGTTTCGTCTGACCGATACGATGCGCTCGATCCTGAGCTTGGATATCCATCTGCGGGTTCCAGTCTTGATCATAAAAGATCACCGTATCAGCTGCTGTTAGATTGATGCCTAGGCCACCTGCGCGAGTGCTGAGGAGGAACAATTTCGGAGCGTCGCGAGAGTCGCCTCCTTGCTGAAATTTGTTCATCTGCTCGCGGCGGTCCATAGGTGCTGTTGAGCCGTCGATACGACATATTGACCAGCCTTTCAGCTCGGTAGCCCAGTCCTGCAGCAAGTAATTGAGCACAACGACACAGACAAAAAAAAGACGGACGGACCTCAAGGATGTCTAACATGGTGGTAAATTGACTGAACAGTAAAACTTTGTGTTTCCTGCGGAACAGTTCGTCTAGTAGACGATCGAGGACCATCATCTTTCCGCTCGCGTTTACCAACTGTTCGTCGAGCACAAGCTCCTGAGTACCTGGGACGACAGGCCAGTGGAACAAAAACGGATGGGAGCAGACTTTGCGTAGCTGCATGACAACGTTCTGAAGCTTCATGTTGTTGATCTGCTTCCCTAGATTCGACAGTCAGTCAAATAAAAGCCAACAAAACACAAAAAACACCAACGAGTCGCAAGTTGCTGATGCTGTTTTGCCAGCTCAGAGACATCTTCTTTTGGCTCCTTAACCTTGGCCCCTCCACCATCCTCGAGCATCTCAAAGTACTCGTCATCACTGCCATCAACGTCGTATCGCGTCTTTTTCTGCTTCCGGAGCTTCATCGGCGCATCCATATCGATCTCGGCGACCTTCTCGACTGCTGCTTCTTTGGAGATGCCAAGAAGGAAGTTCCGTAACGACCCGTCCAAGATATTATCGTACAAATCGCGTTGACCCACGCTAAGGGGTGCGTACAGAACATATTCCTTCTTGGGTGGGAGGAGACCTTCGACATCCGCCTTAAGTCGTCGAAGGAGGAAAGGTTTCAAGATGCCATGAAGAGTGCCAATCAACTGAGATGATTGGCCTTCAGAGAGGCGAGACTGCATGGTTCCCAGGTTGAACCTGAATTTGCTATCAGCCTAAAGGTCGATATTGCAGGAAAAATGAGCACGAACCATTCCTGGAACGTGTCCAGATCATCAAAAATATCAGGCAGTATAAAGTTTAACAACGACCACAACTCTGCCAGATTATTCTACAGAATGTGAGCAAGAGCGATGTTGGCGTATTGAACAAAACTTACATGCAATGGTGTTCCGGTCAGAATCATCCGACCCGCGCTCGGGTATTTCTTGATCTCCTGCATGAGCTTGCAGTCAAGATTTTTCAATCTGTGCCCCTCATCTACGACGATATAGCCCCAATTATAAGTGGAAAGGTGCACGCAGTCTTTGAGAATCATTTCATATGTGGTGACAACGACCGGAAAAGAAGCACGGGTCTGTGGAGGCAGGGTATCGCTAGTAGTGGGTATATAAGTGTCTTCAACATCCGAGGTATCTTCATCGTCTTCATCTGCCTGTACGCTATCCTCGTCGTCGACGTCCGTCTTGCGTCTCTTGGTAGGTCTGCTTTTTGTTTTACGCTTCGGCGCGGGAGCTTTCTTGCCCTTTCCCTTTCGATTGCGTTGCGTCTTGATCGTGACTTCTTCATCAACCGCTTCTCCAGCGTCCGGTGCTCGCATGGTAGTCCGGCGAAGGTCAGCACGCTCAGCTGGCGTACCGTGATACATGCAGACGGGTATCTAAAGACGGTCGATACTAGAAAGAAGAAATGGTCTGGTAGTAGACTTACGGTAGGCGCAAATTTCTGGAATTCCTCTATCCAATTATGAAGAACGCTCAAGGGACAAACGATGAGGAAAGGTTGGTAGTGACCGAGGCCACGTAAGTGTGCATTGAATGCAATCGTTTGCAGGGTCTGAAGATATCTGTTAAGTATGATCCAAAAGAAAAAAATAATTATATTACCTTGCCTAGACCCATCTCGTCCGCTACACATGTACTTGAGAAAATCGAACGCAACGATTAGAGGTCGAGGGCTTACCAAGGATACCAGAAATGCCATTCTTATCCAAACTAACCATCCACTCCACTCCTTCTAATTGATAGTCCTTTAGCTTCGCCCCTGTGACTAATGCAGGCTGCGGGAACTTAGGGCGCTGCCCGTTCTCCCCTTCAACTACAGGAGCTTCCTGACTCTGTGGTTTCACAGGAGGCGCCCCCTCCTCATCTGATACCTCCTCTACGCGTGAGCGTTTCTTGCCACGCTTCGGAAGGCGCCTCCTTGAAGCCTCTGGTTTTGAGGGTGCGGCAGCTTGCATGGCGGCTCGGAGTGCACATGCACGCTTCTCCTTGTCCATCTGCGCTCCTAGAAGTTTGGAGTATGTGAAAGACTTTTCGAGGAGGCGTTCGAGGCGAGAAAAGCGTTCCCGAAATTCCTAAGTTAGATGTGTCAGGACGCGTTCGAATGAGTGATGGGGCACTTATACCTCGTCTTCTATTGATTCTAGCATCTCTGAGGACTATCGCAGAAACCTGTCAGCACAGAAAACAGTGCACTGGGTTCTGAGTTCGACTCACCTCGCGCGTGCCCTTGTATAATCTTCCTTCTTCACTTGGAGGAGGTGATGAGGCAGCTGTACTTGCTGGAGCCGAAGACATTGCAAATGGTATGGGTGATGACGAGGATGGACTCAAAGACATCGTCGGCTGCTAAATAATATGGTAAAGGGTGGAAGGTAGATGGTGGATAATTCTCTTGAATCGATTTGTTCGACCGCGACGAGTAATAATAAATTAAAATATTGTTCTGGTCTCGGATTACATCATCAACGCGACATAGCCGGCCCTAAGCCAGCTCGTGAAGGCAGGAGCTCGATCAGAATCATCCGAGTCATCCTCAGATCTTCTACTTAACGAGTCATCGCTCGTTACTTATACTTTTTGATATAGCTAGCCTATCCCCATCCCTCTTTCTCCACGTTGCCGCCGGCATGAGCGACACAAGGGACGATGAAGACGATACGGCCAAGAACCCAACCCTTTGCCTAATGTGCTGCTAGTGTCAGGAAACTGGCTTCGGATATGCATGGGGCTTGCAAGGTATGGGTAATCATTGATACTGCAAGAATCAATGTGTTGTTCTTGTTCTTGTTCTTGTTGTGTCGATCTTTCATCCGTTTGAACACCTTTGTCAACGCTTCCTTTGGTGCATGTCGCGTACTATGCCCATCTGAGATCATCATCACTCTCGAGAGGGTTCGATGCAATACACTGTAGCAGGGCATCCAGAAGGAATGTTATTTCGTGCAGTTCAGTCGATATTCGTGTAGTCCGATACTGGCGATACGCAGGAGTCTCCATGTGCACGAGGTTCTTAGCATTTGCAATAAGCGCTCTTTCGGCTCCTTCGGGTGTGATCCCTACCGGTCCCTGGCCTTTCTATAAAGATTATGTTTGCCTATTGCTGATCTACTCTCCCTCGACTGATCTATCCTCAGATCCTCTTCCACTCTTCCAACGATTACATGGAGTCATTCCTATCACCAATCCGATCGCTCAAAGGCCACACTCACTGGGTGCAAGAAGTGGTATTCTCGAAAAAATCAAAGTCATGGGCACGTCCAACAACGGGACTGTTCGGATTTGGGATGTAGTAGCAGGGAAACAAGTTGGAGCATTGACAGGACACAAAAGTAGGACTTTCGGACTGGATGTATCGATAGACGGAAGAAGAATTGTGAGCGGGGCGGAGAACGGCAAGATCATTATATGGGATGCACAGACGAAGAAGAAGATCAGACATCTATTCAAACACACAATGAGGGTCATTTGCGGACGGTTCTTTCCTGATGTGAGAACACTCGCCTCCGCATTGTCCGACAGCACACTCAAGATCTGGAATGCAGAGACAGGAAAACTCGTGTTCAACATCGATGATCACCAAGACGGTGTACTGACAGTAGCCTATTCTCCAAATAGAACCAAGATTGCAAGTGGGTCAGACGATCAGACGGTTCGCATCTGGAACGCAGCGACTGGCAAGCAGTAAACCCAGCCACTTTCTCATGGCGAAGCAGTGCGCTCATTAGTCTGGTCTCCAGACAGTCGCCGTCTCATTTCTGCCTGTAATGATGGCCAGATTTACTTCTGGAGTGCGCCTACTGGTGCTCAGCTCGGATCCCCACTGCCTGCCCATTCCAACAAGATTAACTTGTTGGTCATCCCACCTGATGGTGAACTGATAGCCAGTGCATCCGTGGATCACACAGCGAGGCTGTGGAGCACCTCTACCCGCAAACCTTTTGGTCATATGCTCCAGCATGCCTCTGGGGTAAGCACAGTAGCCTGCTCGCCGGATGGCCAGCTTGTCGCCACAGGTGGTACAATCTTTCTGTGGGATATCTCGCAGGCGATCATCACCATGACGAATACCTTGTCGCCCTCGTTTGTTACTCCGGTGTCCCATATCACAAGCAACCTCGACCAGGTAATGAATTCGAGTCTTGTCTTAACATCAGCATATCTAATGCAGGTTGTCGTCAAGGTGTCGGGGTGGCTCCAGTCCTCCGTCATCGGAGCTAGTGTCTTCCACGTCAATGCCAGACGAGGGAACTGAGTTCCCTCTCGAAATCATTGACTCGCGAGATGCAGCTGTCTCACCTTCTACATCTTTGCCATCTCAGGGTCATTCTCATCATGAGATCCTTCAACTTCGTCTTCTACGTCTGTTCTGACGTCTCCTGTCGATCTTCCAGACGGAATCGAACCTCTTCCAGAAACCGTAGGCTCGCGAGATGCAACTGCCTCACCTTCCCCATCTTTACCGCTTCAAGACCACTCCTATCTTTAAATGTCTGCTGCTTCATCTTCTACTCCAGTCGTAGATCCTCCTCCAAGGTCATTTTAGAAGCGATTTCCTATGCTCAACGAGTCCATCATGTCTGTAAACTCCAAGCCAGGGAAATTCCCGCGCTTCGGTAGCATAGTGTAAGCGGCCCCTTTGCACTCTGCTTTGGTATGAGCTTGTTCTAAAACTGATTTCCAGGCATCGGAAGCATCCCGACGTGGAACTCCAAGCAAACCTTAATGATGCTCAGCATGCTTCGCGGTTGTAAGGCCAATAGTTACTGGCTTCATGTCCTGTCCGACGTGACTTGCAAGAGTCCATCAGGTAATGCGGATCGCAGTATACAATATCAGTAGCTTCATTACTAATGGACTAGCGCAGGCGTCACGGTACGAATTGATCTGAATCTGTTGCTTCTATCCTTGGGGTAGCATATGCACATAACACACTAAGTAGGGCATGGCTGGGCAACAATTCGCGAGAACGTCGACCTCAAAGCTAGAACCTCCGCTTCTTGTCGTGCTTGGGTTGTTATTAATAGCGGTTGGACCGCTTGGCGTGTTGTTTCCAATACCGCAAGCCTCTCTTGCTCCAGCCTTTGCATGGCATCTGCCATCACTGGTCTTCATCGCTGCTCGGGCTTCTTCCTCCCGCTTCTTTGCCTGGGCTTCTTGTATGAGGTTTCTCTTTTGAATACCCCTCTCGGCCTTATCCTCCTTCAATACTTTGAGTCTACCCGCAAGGATGTATCCGTATCCTGGCGTGCCTTGACGTTTGGAATGTCTACCGGCTATCTTGTCTATTCCAGTCTTGGTTTCCACCCGCTTGAGAAATGTGGTACAGAACCAGTAGCATTGTCGTCGAAACAGGGCGTAATACCACGAATGGTCTTCAACCTGTTCGAAGATTTGGCAGGCTGCAGGAAAGCTGAGCTTTTTCAGGGCAGGCGAGCCGAGATTTAGACTGGCTAGGTGGTCGTGATCATCTGCCTTGAAATTCTTCCGAAGTCTGCTGATAGTATCGTCGCTAGGAGAGACCATGTAATCTGGCCTCGACGGAGGCGACTCAGACTGTTTCTCCTCATCGGGCTTTCGTCTAGACGGTCTACGTTCTGCACGCAAGCGAATAAGCGAACGGTTAGTGCCGCAATCGAAGACACTAAGAATCATGAATTCGTGTCCTGTCAATTCAAGATCATGTTGTGCGTCATATATGCCAGGTGATTAAGATACTTACCCACTAGGTTCCTTTCTTTATAGTGAATTATGTCGACAACCCAATATTTCTGATACTGTTCTGGCGAATTTGCAACATTTGTACACAGAACGGGTATCGAAAGTAGCTCTTGAAAATTCGGGTCTGTCAAGAGTAGCATATTAGACCGCAGGAGCAACAACGGGCCAGAGACAAGGTCATTTTGAGAATCGCTAATGTACTATACATCCGCCTCCGAATCGCAGGCTCACAGCTTCCCCCGTGCTGTACACCATTTCGGCATGTATTGTATATTGCTACATTTAATTTATTAAAGGGGTTCTCCCCTCTGCCCAGCTGCCTCGAGTCACCCTCTATCCCCCAATCAGAAGATGCCTCGTGTGATGCAGTACTTACTACGTGGGCCACTAAGATCATGGGTCTAGCCGCGCGCTGACTTTCATTATCCAGATTCTAGAAAGCAAGACGCCGTAGGATCTACCAAGCTTGCCCTTAGTAGTTCTGCATCGGCATCAGCTGCGATGTGGACATGTGTAACTTGTGATTGATTGAAAAGTCCCTCGTGTATGTGGCCTTCACTCGATCGAGGCCCTCGATGTGATGCCTCCCGGCAACCACCACCCCTCTAAACCGGTGACACAACGTCACGCAATGATCGACCTGACAAACTAAAGTTCGAGCGGTTGAGGCTGCAGTATTTCAAAGTAGCGGGTAGGTAATACGGAGACAATGACATCGTGTTTATTCAATTTTGGTGTCGCTGCATGGTACTCTGGTGGACACAGATCACAATGAACAAGTACTACGTTATACCTCATCAGTTTCTAACAATTTGACCATGGCAGTATAGCGATATCTAGAATATGGACGGCGCTGCTCCATGGGTTGATAAACATACAGCAAAAGCACATATGCAAACTACGCCAGCTAGGATCACCGGCTGGAACGAATATCCAACCTGTTGTCCTTGACACGAACCAGCACAATTTCGTCGTTACGTACACTTTTCTGCAGGATGGCACGTGCAAGTGGGTTAAGCAATTCCGCTTGGATGACTCTCGTGAGCAGACGGGCACCGTATTCGCTTGAAATGCCCTGATTAATGAGCCATTGCTTTGCAGTACGATCGAGGTCTAGCGTCATTTTCTTGAGGCCATCCCGCTGTCGCAAGTCTTCTAAATGCTTCTCCAAAACTTTGTCCATCATGTCAGCCGACATAGTCCTCTGTGATAGTCATACATGATTATGATCAGCAATGTGGTGGTTGCGTGCGTGCTTACAAACATAACCACTTCATCAACTCGGTTGAGGAATTCGGGGGAAAATCCGGTATCTTTAAAGCGTTGCATGACAGCTTCCCTGGTGCGATCGGATACCTTCCCACTTTCCTTACTCAAGATGTTCGCACCAACGTTAGATGTCATGATAATCGCTGTATTACTGCGAATCTGAATAAGCAGTGATATCAGATAGTGGGACATCAGCCATAACTCACCGAAAATCCACTAGCCGTCCCTGTCCGTCGGTCAAGCGTCCATCATCCATGACTTGCAAAAACAATGTCAAGAACTGCGCGCAAGCTTTCTCGATCCTGATGACATATGTAAAGCGGTACAAACAAATCATGAAACGAGCCTCACTCGTCTAACAAGACAATGCAATACGGCGTTCGTCGAACATACTCTGTGAGTTGTCCACCTTGATCATAACCCACATATCCTGGAGGGGCGCCAATCTGCATATGTCAGCATGCGTTCGACACTCCAGAAAGGTATATTTACCAGTCGCGAAACGGAGTGACTTTGAGAATATTCGCTGCCATCAATGCGGATCATTGCCGTAGAGTGTCCAAACAACTCCTCTGCAAGCTGTGGATTATTAGTGAGTTTCGAGTTTGTCAGATGGATAGTCAGCTCACAGCCTTCGACAGTAATGTCTTTCCAGTACCAGACGGTCCGGTAAAGAGCAAGCAGGCATTTGGTCGGTTGGCATTACCCAGTCCAGTGCGAGATAGCTGAATAGCGTTCACTACGGCATCAATGGCTTCCGGTTGCCCGATGACCTGTATGGATGCATGCAGTCGTAAGTCGACCTTTCACCCCCACATGCAGAATAAGATTTAGCAAACCTTTTTCTCCAGGGTGCTTTGAAGATGTAAGAGACGCTCTTTGTCCGTGTCCAGTAGCTGTCGCACTGGGATTTTTGTTGCCTTCTCAACAATAGCAGCTATGCTTTCTGGCGTGATTATGTCCGGAGATAAGACAGTGGGCCGATTTTTGGCCAAGAGGGACACAAATTCATGGTCCATAAATTCGGAATCTCTTTGGACTCCCGAACTTTTTCGGACTTCTGGACCTTCATGTTCTTTTCGAACAAGGTTATCTCGTAATTTTTTCATTTCATCTTCGAGCCGCGCAATCTTCTTCGCATCTATCCGACCTTCGCTATAGCAAATTGAATGAGTCGCGTCGAGCACCCTTCCCGCGGATGAATCGGTGGAGAAAACAAACCTTTTTGCTGTATCTATTTCGGACCTCTTCTTTTGAATGTTTCCTCGATAACCCGCAATCAATTTCCACCATGCTGTTACTGCAGCCTGTTCACGTTCTAGAAATCTCAACTTCGTTGTGAGTTTAACCTTGGCCTGTTTGGCATGGTTCAGTGCGCTCTCATCATCAGGATGATTATCGCGCTATGGCAAAGAAGATTAGGCGTCAATCAGGGCTGATACCCGTTGGACAGTAAAAGAGACAATGCACCTCGAGGGACTTAATGTAATAGTCCTGCTGGATTATGCCTGATTCAAGCTCATCTATGATCTCTGGTCTCAAATCTTGCTGCACTCTTGCAGAAGCGCAAGCTTCGTCCATGAGGTCGAATGCTGAGTCAGGCAATCTATGGTGGAAAAATTGGCAGCGGTTCCGATACTGCAAAGTGAACAAATACCTCCTTGCAGTGAGATATCTGTGGGCGAGTTCGACTGCAGTAACTATTGCTTGATCCATGATCCAAACATGGTGGTGAGCCTCATACGGCTCCCGAGAGCCACGTAGAATAGATTTGGCTTGATCTATTGTTGGCTCGTTGACCATGACCTATGAAGCACGTTATTATTCCATCTCTACGCAACAGGGCGATACAAACCTGAGCAAACCGGCGTGTAAGTGCACCATCTTTCTCAATATGCTCCCGATACTCCGCTAACGTGGTGGCTCCTATACACCTGAATTGGCCACGCGCGAGCTCAGGCTTTAGTAGGTTTGCGGCATCCCTATACATGAAAATGAGCTCCAATGTGTAACAACAATAGGATGGTAAGGCGTACATTCCAGCTTGGTTGCCCTGTCCCTTGCCAACAGATATAAGGTGGAGCTCGTCGATAAATAAAATAGCTGGAGACTGGCTTTCTTGACTGCGTTTCACGTCTTTGAAACAACTGTAAACAAAGATAAAACAAATCTCAAAGCGAAGCATACCATCTATGACACCTTTAACACGCTAATGCAATTATAAGGACCATCAGTTAGGGGAAATAAAAGAGTATTCAACGTATATCTTACCTCCTCATATTCACCCTTTCCTGCTCCCGCAAAGAGCGCGCCCAAGTCCAGGCTGTAGAGTGTGCCCTTCAAATTTTGTGGGACTTGGTTCGTAGCCATTCTATGGGCGAGACCTTCAGCGACCGTTGTTTTTCCGACTCCTGGTTCACCTGGTGCTCTTTCAATACTAGAAACAGCGAACATCGAGCAAACAATTCAAACCTAACAGAACAACAGAATTCTTCGTTCTGGTCAAGACAATCAACAAATGGATACAGATAAGCAATTATGAATGCTAACCGACGGCACAGGATCTGGATGGTACGACGAATCTCCTCGTCCTACAATTAAGGTAAATCTTACACGTCCACTAAAACAGCACTAGCAGAAGTGCGGTATATGAAAAGGGACGTACCCTGCCGATGGTGTCATCAAATTTTCCTGCGCGCGCCAATGCCAACATATCAGTCGTGTACCTATTTCAGCGAGGAGAAATCAAATTTTGCCAAATGGTTCCTGGAGGGACTAAACTTACCGAGCAAGATACTTAAAGCCATCGTCATCCTTCGTAGTGACCTTCGAGCCCTTTAAGTCTTTCAATGATTTGACCACATCGTCTTTCGAAATATCGTGATCTCTGGCAAGTATCGCTGCAATCTCTTGGGATGCCACGACTGCAATGCTCAGATGATACGGATTAGCGTATAAATCTTGCTGTTGGATTGCGAATAATTAGTAACTGGTTGCATAGCCTAATAGTCTGATGCCGACCATTTCCTTCATCACTGCTTGGGCGCACTGAAAAACCCCGATCAGAGCTTGACTAGGCCCCGGGATGCCTGCAGCGCCAGCTATCATGATGTTAATCATCATGCGTTTTTGAAAGAACGCTGAGCTCACAGTTCGACGTAGAAACATTAGAATGCACCGTGTCAATGCCTCTGGGTTGAGGAACTCGTCTTTGGCGACGCCCAAAGACATTCTGCCAAAATGCCAGTAAGCAGAAAGGTGGGAAGGGCAAATCTGATAGTAGCCACCTCCAACGTTGCAGTATTACCCCCCAGGCGGGATCGTGGGAATTCAGATGTCAGTAGAGTTGCTTTGATGCCTTTCGCAATATCAAGCTGGTCCAGGTCTCCGAATCAGTTCAAGTTAAGCTCTGTCAATTCGAACGGGATATCTCACAGGCTCGATATCGAGTTCTTTTAAGACTGCCCATAGGTGAGAAGGGTGCACCGGCGAGAATTGATCCAAGCGATCTATGTCGACAGAAACTCCGCACAGGGCAACGAGCATCATGTGCATTGGTGTGACTGATATCAAGAGCCGGGTAAGAAGACCGCCCCAAGGTGAACCTTGACTAACCTTCATTCTGGTGCAATTTGACGGCGATATCAGTAGATTTTTGCAGCATATCGCGGGCTTGTTTCGTGAAGATATCACGATCATCTTCGTTTTGCGACATGATCACAACCAAGGAAAGATATCGAACATTCTTCAAGTGATACATCCTTATGTAGGCACACGGCCTATTCCAATCTCAGACATGATAGAATGGGTGAGTTTAAACTTGACATGCCCCTTCTCGGCGGATCGAGCACCGGCATCGACGGGCTGTGGCCATGCTGAAAGTGTGCGCTACAATGACGCCCATTGACTCCATCAGGATTTCGATCTTGTCCGATAAGACCCTAGGGCTCAGGGCATGCACGCAATAGTGGATATTGAACATTGAACTTCCATTCCTGCATCAGCCTTCCTGGAATTCTTCGACGTGAGGGTACCATGAGGTCTTGAACTTTATGGAACTTGCATTTGAATTTTTGTCACGCAGTGGTGCTTTGCGACCCCTAGAAAGGCAAACACGCAATTGGACTTTTGGTAACTCGCTTTTCGGTATTTTGTCTACATTCAACGGGTCTGCTGTGCACCAGAAGTGGTTTCCTGTGATTTTCTCATCTAATGCAGCTTTTCGTGAACAACCCTTTTGGCACCACCTTCACCGTCGAGTTGTCCCCGCAGGACACAGTCGATTCTCTCAAGAGCAGGGTTCTGGGGACCATCAGGCAAGTCTTCGTTGATAATCTCCCTCCCTGTCTCATTGTTCCATGGATATGAAGCTCGTCGGATTTCAATACTGCAGATCTGCGGTTGACCTTTGCTGGCCACAATTTGGCTGATCGTGCAACGCTTGCGAGCGCAAATGTCTCCAGCGGGTGCACGCTGAGTTTTGGTACGCTCAGGATCAGATCCGAATAATATTATTGTTTAACAATATCATTACTCATGTTCCAGACTTTCGCCTGAGGGGCGGAATGCTTCCACAGCCATGTCCGTTGTACACCCCTCAGGAATTGGACGACAGAGCTACTCCTCATCACATGGAAAAGGGTGTAATCAATATGACGCCTCCAGGCCAGATCATGATCTCAATCCGAATGATACCTGACCAAAAATTGGATATCCTCGCGCTACCTGACAGCTCTGTTTTGTCCCTCAAACATCAAATCTCAGAGAGTATTAAAGTGGATGCTGAACATCAGCGTCTGCTGTTTGCTGGGAAAGTGCTCCAAGACGACAAAACCCTCGAGAATTATGGTGTTGTAAACGAGAACGTAATCCAGCTGGGTACGCTTCTCTTCCTGTCTCTAGTCCTGTTGACCTCATGATCAATTGCAATGACTGTAGCTATCCCGCCCACCCTTAAGGTTGCTGCAAAGACGAAACCTCAAAGGCTAAGACGAGGACATGAACCGGAAGTGCAGATATTTGTCAAGAATCTAAATGGAAAGACGATGACCCTGATGATCTCGCCGACGGACACAGTAGAAAATCTGATGAAGAAGGTCCAAGAGAGAACGAATATTCCACCTTCTGAACAGCGCATCCTATTCGGTGGGAAGCAACTCGAGCCCAGTAGGATTTTAGCGGACTACAATATCTCGAAGGAGAGTACGTTGCATCTTGGTGAGTAAATGGTTTTGCCAAGAATTTTTTTGTCTTCGTTGACCCAGGCTGTCCAGTACTTCGTTTGCGAGGAGGATTATGAGGTGAAAGATTGACGAGCAGCATTACGTCTTGGTTTCCATTTGATCCCCGAAGTATGATACGCCACATAGATGCCAATGTTTAGTGTATGATTATGGCCATGCAGACACTCAGGTATTTAATGCACATGTAACAAGGCAAACTTGAACGGGCCAGAAAATCATGTATCAAACATTGCGGTCCTTGTGCTGCTGAAGAAAGGCTTCTGCAACTTGATCACGCGACATCGCGAATTTTTTTCCCCCTGATATTCAATTTACTGCCCGCTGGGCCATAATGAAGTTATGGTGATGAGATGCGAACCGAGATCGTCGTCTTGATTGTATACGTATATGCGTTTAGCAATGTGGCGTTGTAGTTTTTGCTTGGAGACATTGTTCAAGGGACTGTCAGCAGCGGTCGAGAGCACTCATTCACACTGACAGCACAGGACATCCAAAAGTGACATACAAGATTTAACGATATCAGAGCCTAGAACCACTCTAACATACATATAACCACCTCCCCCTCTTTACAAAAGGAGTCTATGAAGACTTGAACGTGCTGTCAAGAAGTTTAGACGATGGCCGGAATTAAGGTTTTTGCCTTACCGTTAGGGTTGGTGCTTCCACGTTGCAACGTTTCCCGAGTTGGGCGCAAAGGGCGAAGATGGCGCAAAGAGCTTTGGCGTGAGGCTGATAGCAGAGATAGCAACACGGGCGAGTCAGGTGAATGACTGTTGTAGTTGGTCAGGAAGGGTGACTCTGATGGTTTGCCCATTAATTTCTCCACAGGAGATATGACATTTGCGCGGCATGAAGGACATGTGGAATTTCCAAAAAGCCAATTGCCAATACAGTCTGTCTGCAGGAAACGAACTTTCAGAATTTGTTCTCCATGGAATCCGGCTGACTTACATGGAACACGTGAGAACAAGGAAGCTGTATAAGAGGGCCAGACTCGAGTTCAGCAACGGCCCGGGTATGTGAACTTTTGCTCGGAGGAGGGTCAAAATCCACCAAACAAATGTTGCATTGTGCATTGTGAGCCTCGAGGTAAACATTCTGCACAGGTGACTCGCCCAACCGTTTAGGGAAAGATGTCAAGTCATAGTGTCCAACGTCAGGTATGGGGACGTATCGAACGATGGGGAAACAGGCTATTAGCTGGGAACGTGATGACATCTAATATTTGAATGAGGTGTCAATCTCACGCACGTCAGTGACTTTATACACAAAGGAAGACAGCCCGAGTTGTTGCTTGTAACAGAGTACAGCTTTAGACTGCGCGCGCCGGCACGTCGACCCAATGCTGGAGTACTTCTACGTGTATGTAGCCTATAAGCCGCAATGAATGAATTTTGAAATATTGGTCAATATTAGTATTACGTACATGATACACGAGTAGATACTTGGGTTAACCGGTCTGAGCAACCCCGGTACCCTGGTCTTCCAGCTGTGTTCGAAGATCTGAGTCAACTTGAAGGATTCAAATTTCAAATTTGGGCCTCAGGTCTCAGGGTTCTGTGTATCCATATATGGAAAGAGTTCAAGTTGCACGAGGCAGGAGCTGAAGTGCTCAAGGCATGTCCACAGCCTCCGGTACACCTTATTTGCTGTACCGTACTAGGCGCCGGCCTGGTTGCAACTCATGTTGCGGTCAGTTTGGAACTTGGAACTTCCTTACCCGATTATCATGATGATGATATGATCTTCCTTCTGCCGGCCACTCAGGCTGGCAGAACTTCATCCTGATCATGCTGCTCAGAGTCAATTGGTACCGTAATACATACTGCGCGCAGGAACGGGTAAGTTACGGCATGTTCTTAGTAGATCGATCACATTTTTCAATCTTAATTTCGCAGCTTCGCTAGCCCCACGCAAGTCACAAAGGGCCGATTGGTTGATATCCGAGCCCTAGCTCGAGAAGTTAATATCGCACTACGGTAACAGCCACAGACCGCTGCTGCCCTGCATAACATTAGCCTGAGAATGTCGATTTTGCATCAATTTCTGAAACAAACCAGTGTTGTGTTTCACTGCACCCATTACAAACCACAGCTTCCTAGTGCTTGCTAAATGTCAACGACAGACACTACTTTGCGCGATGGCTCCAACGAATCAATATCACAATCTCCAACTGCTGCCAGTACCAGTTTCAGATTCGACAGTGAATTGGATAATCTGTGGACCAACTGTGAATGGCTAGCTGGTGGGACCTACCTGAACACTCAGGTTGGCCGTCTTCCCGAACGCAGTTCGACACTCGTGAAGCCTCTCCATCTTGCTCTCGGGCTTCTTTTCAATGGACTCTATGATGATTCGGACCCAAGATTGTACGCTGTCGACCCTGAGTTGCCCAGGTCTCTTCAATTACCTCTGTTCTGGACCGCCATTTCCCAGGCATCGGGGATCCCTGATAATATTGCCTTGCACCTTCGCGAGGTGACATTCAAGCCACATGGCGAGCGTCTCCTACAGCAATGTATTGGCCAGGCGCTATGGCAAGAGTTGAAGAAAGATAAAGACTTACACAAAGAAGACAAAAGAGCTTCTTCTGATCCAGAAGTGAGTCGGGACCACTAAATATCATGTTTTTCTGTGTAGTTAATGACGTCAAATAGAATATTCTGAGTCGAGCCACCATAGACACCGAAACCATTTTAAAGCGGGCCAAAATGATATGCGATGAATATGTTAGGCCTTGACTTTGGGTGGATAATCGCGGAACTGACAACTTCGTACATTAGAGTAGCGAGTTTATCGCTCTGCACCACATTCTCCTGGCGCTCCTTGAGCACGAAGAACTCTTTGACATTCTCAAGAAATGGCAGAGCCTACGGACCGAAAAGCTTCCTGATATTGTTCGCCATCTTAGACCCATGACCATTCGCAACCACAACACTCAATTGTTTCCCATCTTGAACCAGTAAGTTCGTTTGTTCTGGCCTTTTTTTGTTTGCTTTCATTCCATTCACAGATGGGCAATCGATCTCACGCAGCTTGTCAAAGATAAGAAGGAGCGAGGAAAAGTGATCGACCCGTTAATCGGCAGAGTGTGTTGCTCATAAGATTGATGTTTCTTTACACTGACTATCGTCCTTGTAGTGCAACGAATTGCGTCGCCTTATAGCTATTCTGTCAAGACGGTGAGTTAGAATTCGCGAAATTTATCTCGTGCGCTGATTGCATCCGCTGCAGCAAGAAGAATAGCGCTGTTCTTCTCGGTATGTCCAGTTGTTCAAAGTCGGTGAGTGGTGCTGATCTAGTTCTGAATTCTGGAATTAGGCGATCCAGGTATTGGAAAAACTGCCATTGCTGAAGGCCTAGCACATAGACTTGTCGAAGGAATCTTGAAAGTTGGTACTGGTGCGTTCAGCTATCTAACGGCTGGTTTTGGCAGTTGATCGACTATGGAATTTGGAACAGGGGATCATAACATCGATCAGCCTGGCGTCATTGAAGGCCTGGATCGGAGGAGTGCCAGACGCACCATGCAAGTCCCAGAGTCTGTCGTTGCCCGGGTGTTTAATCTAGACCTTGCGTCATTACTTGCAAGCACAGCATGCAAGTCAGCGTATGAACAGGTTAGGGACAATTTTACCTTTTCGTTTCTAGTCACTAAAGGCGCACATTGACCAAAGATAGTCAAGATGATCCTGGATGGTACGACTACATTACCCACTTTAACGTGTGCTTATGCCTCTCTTTTATTGCAGAGATTGCACAGCATGAGGAAAGGGGTATCAGGGCCATCATTTTCATAGACAATCTGAGCCAGATCGCTATAGGAGGGTACCGCAGCGATGGGACTGGTTTGTGAGTATCATAAAATTTTACAGTCACTTTATTTTTATAAGCTGATTACTCGACGCTTTCTGTAGGGACGCCGCCACCATTATGAAGCCGTTCTTAATGAAGGGTAAACTACGTTGTGTTGGGTGTTCAACTATCGAAGATTTCCGAACGTATATAGAAAAGGATGGCGCATTGGCTCGTCAATTTTCGCCTGTACGTAGATTGTGCATCGAACTATTCCCCGTGCTGACCTGCCGAAGATTTACGTCTGCGAATCCGCTCCAGATGAAACGGTGGAAATACTGCGCGGATTAAAGGCCCCCCTACAGCGTTTTCACAAGATTGCCATCTTGGATGATGCCCTTGTAGCAGCAACCACGATCGCCACTCAGTTCTTCGCACATAAAAGGTGAGTCATTTCTTACGTCTTCGTCGTTTCACGCCTGAATTATTTAATTCTGGTGGTCGCAACTTAAGACTACCAGACTCGGCTATAGATCTGATCGACGAGACATGCGCTCAGGCCACCCTTGCACGCAGTGCCAACTCAGAAACAGTGTGGAAACTACAAAGGAGCAGAGTTGTGTTGGAAATGGACATATGCTCCTTGAAGGTGTGTCACATTTTGTATGCTTACCCGTGGCGCTCATCGTTGAACCTCTGATGCAGCGAGAGGTTGACGAGGAAAGCGATCGAAGGGTGCTTGAAGCTCAAGCTAAACTATACAATCTTGATCGAAAGATTGAAGCATCAAGCTCTTCGAGACGAATTTACCGAATTATACGTCGCAAACTGAAAGAAGTTGAAAAGAAGATCAGGACAGAAGATGATCGATTTACACTTGGGTGGGCATAATTTGAAGTTTGGCACGACAGCTTAGACTCAACCGTTTGAAGTTCATTTAACGATGAAGACGAAAGACAAGAGGCCATAGACAGAGTCCAGGACCTTCGAATCAATCATGACAATCTTCAACACCAACTAGAGCAGGCCGATTCCGGGACATTCACTTTGAATTTGGATGAATTCGAAAAGAACAGCGACCCAGTCACGGACAAGATGGTCGCAAAGACCGCCATGTATTATACCTTTATTCCTGCAGCTGAAACTCTCAACCCATCGGAGATCCTGAAAGTTGCAGACAGGCTAAGCACAGTGGTAAGAACCGCCTTGTTTGCTATCACAGTGACAGTATTCACACCATTTGGAATAAGGTGGTTGGCCAGCCGGAGGCTGTTGAAGCCGTCGCGAACACGGTGCAATACATGTGGGCGGGATTCAAAAATCCACGAAGGCCTATCGCATCGTTCCTTTTTGGTGGTCCATCAGGATCCGGGAAAACGCTGCTCGTGAAGGGAGTGAGTCTCGCTGATCATTCGCTGCTGCTTACTTGATAAATCTACTTATGTGTTCGCCCTCTGTACAGCTTTCCGAGATTGCACTTCAACAATCTGGCAAGTTGCTACGCATCAATGCCAACGACTACGCCGAACCGCACAGTCTCACGCGTTTGGTGAGCAGTGTGAAATCAGCTAGCGTCCTGTAACCCCTTTAAATCATTTTTGTCAGATCGGAACACCCGCATGCACGGGGTTCGACCATGGTGGTCAGCTGACTGAATGTGTCAGACGAAAGCCTTTCTCTGTCGTGCACATCAAAGAGTAAGCGTAATTTACCTGGTCATTCACGGTCTTCGTTGAACCCACTTTCCTGCCTAGTATCGAACGAGGCTGTGTGGAATTCAGGCTGCTCATACAGACCATTCTCGATGAGGGAACGATCAAAGATGGTGATCGGAATGTTGTTGATTTTACGTAAGAAACACATGTGTCATCTATCTCCTCCGGTCAGCTGAAGCACTCGCACTCCAGCAATTGCATCATTATCATTTCGACGAGCCTTGGTCAAGTGAACATGGGGCGCGCTATATCGGAAGAGACGGAGCGCAAGCACTTCATGAACGAGATTAAAACCTATTTCCCTGGTGAATTCCTGTCGCGCCTTGATAAAATAGTGGTGTTTGTGCGTCTATCATGTTCCTAATGACGGGCATAAATGTCTTATAGTTTTTTTTATCCAGCGACGTATGTCTGGAGCCACTCTGATCACAATGATCCATGCTCGCCTTGAAGAGCTGAGAAAGCAATTATCCCTCATCGACCTCCAGCTGTCAGTCCATGACGCGGTGGAGAATCGTCTGCAGTTCCAGGCGCCATCAAACCGTGTAGGCTGCGCGCGATGGTTAGATCGGTTGATTCGATCGGAGATCCTGGAACCACTCACAAAGCTCCTCCTCAAGAACGATGTGCCTGAAAACAAGACTGTTGTCTTGAACATCGATGAAGACACACGCAAAATAACAGTCCGGCTTGTTGAGGGGGGACCTACTATACCAGTCACGGAGCCAATGCCAGAGTCGCCCGTATCATCGTCGCCTTCTACTTCTTACTACAGTTTCGACACAGACGACGAGCATTGGGAGGGTGAATCCACAGATTCGCACAGCGTAGATGAAGAAGAGGATGGACACTTTCGCCAGAGCTGGGCACCACTTTCCCTGCGACCAGCGGGTCCTCCGGCCCTTAGCCCACTACCACAAAGGTTATTCTGAGCAGTGTCGTGACGGCTGATACGAATATCATGAACTTGATGTAGATGCATGACTGTCTCTATAATGTATTAAATATCACGCGAAACAGAATCAGTATGAAATGGTGTTTCACCATGTTCGCGTGGTACCCTCAGCTCTGGATCGGTCTACATAGATGTGGCTCTGTGGCAATGGCATGTGTGTTCGCAAACACGCGTTCAGCAGTAAATATGACAGCGATCGGGACTAGAGAGCAAAATAATTGTTAAAGTATTAAGCTTTAAGGCGCACAGAAAACGGGACAAGAGGGAACAGGTTTACAACCCTGAAGTAGAATAATGTTTGTGGGATGCCAATCAGCCGCAGTGCCCGGAGATTGGATTAAAAAGTATCCACACGACCAGAGAGCGAAGGGGTGCATGACCACCCTTGGCACCACTTCAAAGACGTTCCCACGGCCTTTCAGACCCGGTTTCTATGTCATGGGAAACTAGGCTGAAAGACCATTGTCCCCAAGAGGGTCTCCACCAGGTGCTACAATAGGCTCCCGCCCTTGAGAGGGTTTTTGACTCAAGTTCGCGCAGAGGCTCTCGAGGTAAGTATAGTCTATACCCTTTGTCCTCTGCTCGCTGGTATTTTTATAGATTTGCACCCTTCTTCCATCGCACAGCGCTGTCCGCTGCCCTTGCTCACTGCTCAGGTTCGCGCGGAGGTTCTCATAGTAAGTGTAGTCTATACCCTTTGTCCTTTGCTCACTGCCATGTATACTAGATCTGCACCCTTCGTCAGTGCTCAGGTTTGCGTTGGATCTATGAGCTTGTTTGTCTACAGGCTGGAGCTTGGATTTACATTGGCACATTCTTCTGACTTACATTGGTGCCTTCTTGATCTACATACTTCTGGGATTTTCAGACTGACGTGGCACATTCTCTTGATCTACAGCCTCGGAGCTTCAGGGAGGTTTTTGTAAATGGTCTTCTTGGCCTTAAATAGTTTCATTTCACTATCCGTACCCTCTGCTTCACGAGCCTCGGCTTTGAATTGATGTTCCAATTGTCCTCATACCCGGTGCTTCGCGAGCCTCAAGTGCATCTCGTTCAACAATTCGGACGAGTCGACCTTCTTTATTTAAGATTTGTTCTAAATGTTCATATGTCGCGAACCTTAAATGCATCTTATTTAGCGGAGCTTCGTGAACATCCAAAGCGTTTCATTCAACTGGAGACATATGATTTATCGCAATATGAAAGTACGTATGTAAACTATCATCGAAGGAAGTCACGTACTACCGATCAAAGCAAGGATGGGTGAGATATAAACATACAGAACATCAAGAACACACGATCAAAGGAGGAACGAGTGAGATGGGGACATACGGAAACATCAAGAACATATATGCACACAAGAGCGCTCGATACAATGAAGCATTCCAAGAAGCAAGAGATGACGTCTAGTTACCTTCAGACTGGGGTGGTGATGATGAGTATGCAACTAGACCAGGTAAAGGGCTCATCCTCTGACTAGAGCGGCGGGGTGTTTGTAGTACGTTCTCGGCCTGATGCGCCATGGGCCTGTAGTGAGGCTGCCAACGTTCGTCCATGTTATATGCTACCCTGCCATCACGGTGAGCCACAAGTCCTTGTTGGGGAGCAGGCACACGAGTGTCGTAAGTCGGAGCAGGTGCACGAGCACCATAATTCTCCATGTGCTGTTGCTTGTCGTAACCTGGAGCGGGTGCACGAGCACCATAATTCTCCATGTGCTGCTGCTGCTCAGAAGGTGCACGAGTAGGCCGCACATCCATAAATTTCTGGATATTGTTGCTGTTGAGAAGGTACCAGTGCACGAGTATCGTAATCTTCCAGACGTTGCTGATGAGCAGGCACACAAGTACTATCATAAGCTTCTGCATGTGGAACGTTAGCATGGTGGGGTGCAAGGTGCGGATACATGTCGTTGCGAGGAGTGTACTGGGTGTGGGCTGTAACCGGCGGTGTCGCCGCCACCTGGGCCTTGGTTCATGCATTGGTAGTCAATCTGATTACAGCACAGATCAGCCTGAGGATAGTTCCGACCTTGCGGCACGTCAAGATGTTGCCCGTATGAAGGCGGTGGAAGAGCTCTGCCATGACCATAATTATATGGTGTGGTTTCGGGGGCAGGGCTTCACTGGTTGTGCGAAGATGGAATCAGTGACTGTGGACGTTGTTGATATTGAGGCGATGGAGATGAAGGGGCAGACGATGGGGCAGGCGAGGGGGCAGGCGAGGGGGCAGGCGAGGGGGCAGGCGAGGGGGCAGGCAGTAAATGGTCGTGTGGCTCTGCTGCTCCCATTGGTCTTGCTGCTCTTGACAAGCTGCGCGCATGAAGCCTCCCACCTTTGACAAACTGCTACTTCTGCTCCCGATGGTTCCGCTGCTCCTGATGGTCTCGTTACTCCTGCTGCTCCCGGTGGTCCCGATGCTCGCGTCACTCCTGACGGTCCCGCCGCTCTCGTTGTTCCCGATGGTTCTGCTGCTCCTGCTGCTCTAGATGATTCGTGCGTATGAAGCATTCCACCTTCATAGAAAGCAACTTGTTTGGCTGCTGCAGTTGAACCACGCACAATCTTCTTTGGCTTCGGCTTTGAATGTGCTGGACCATCTCGGAGTCGCAAAGGTATACCAACTATGAGAAGATGTTATCGATGGTAAGCGTCGTATAAAGGTGACAGAAATGAAGCTTGCATACCTTCCTTGACTTCGTCTGGCTTCTGTTCCTCTTCAGATTCAGAGGTGAGCTCGCGATAACGTGCCCTTACCCTCTCCTTCTGCAATGCAGTATCTTTTGCCTTGCCCTTGGGCTGCGGCTCGATCACCTCAATCTCACTGGACAGAACACGACGCTTAAGTCTGCGAGTGCCACCAGTCGTCTTTGCTTTGCGTTTGCGTGACTGCACTCTATCCTCGTAGTCAGACTCGACTTGTGGGGCGTCGTCATATGCTGAGTCGTCTTCCTCCGATCCAGACGATGCTTTCACTGATTCATCGAGAGTGATTACATTGGAAGGTGTGGGCGTTGCCTGTGATTTTGGAGGTTTAACTACCTTCGAAGGGCGTGCAGGAGGTATCTCGACTGAAACGATGAGATTTTTTTGACGAACAATGGTGGAAGTGGGAGAATCGTCGTCAACAACTATGGAAGAAGCGATGGGCGCAGCCTGCCTGCTGTTTGGCTTCCTGACTTTGGTAGTTGCTGCACTTGGCCGGAGACGAGACGGTCCTTCACGATCGATAATGCCATTGGCAAGCAACCACTGGCCACGTAAGTGAGCGGAGTGTGGTGGAGGAGCCTCCCCAATGATGACTGGTCGGCTCTTGTCTTTGTCCTCTGAACCTAATAAGAAATTAGCGTAGGTTAAGAATATATCCATGAATACGTACCTGAGGGCCCACATTTGATCACCAATGTTCCTGATTTCAAGGCTTCTGCGAGGATTATCTGTTCTCGTTTGTCAAGGTCGTTGATCCCCTTACTCCTCGCACTGGTGCTGCGTGTCTCTCCTGGCATAAGGATGTCCTCCGGATAGCCTTCAATGACAAATCCTTGATGATCAAGGTCACTGCAGAGCTTCTTCCACGGGAAATTGCCTGAGCGGACAGTGAGTTTCCCACCCACTTCCTCTTGAGAATGATGAGCAAGCGGTAAGCAACATACCAAGAGAAATAGATACTTACTGAGTAATGCAATGATGCCACCCTTGATAAGTTGAAGAAGGTCGACCTGAAGTTGCCAGTCATCGACATCGAGCACCTCTGGAGCATCCGGGTCATCTTTCACGGCCTCCGGAGCATCTGTTGACACTTTCAATGATTTTCGCTTGCGTGGCGGCTCATCTTCTTTTGCGCTTGGCGCGCCTTCAAGATGCATGTCCTTGGCAACCGCAAGAGATGCAAGGTTGCTAAAATTCAAGTAAGAATTCACAAAGCGGTCTACAAAGAAACCATTGACTTACTATACATGAGCTTTTAAATGTCCAATCATCGCGTCTTTGTCAGCTCGGCAGCGTGTTTGCCAAAACTAAAAGTGTTGAGTAAGGACTTTGATGTATACGAACGGAAGAATGACTTACTTTTTCTGCACCCGGCGTTTCGTGTATATACCCAAGTGACGCGTCCTGATTGACCACCTTTCCGCATATGATAAAGACTGCTTCGAAGCCATGTTTGGCAGCAGCGGCGTCCACCTAAAAGTAAGGTTAGCACATTATTTTGATGTATGAAGTGTTGGACGCACCGTGGTCACGACTTTTCTCCAAATCTTACTGAATTCCTGCGTTCGCTGTGAAACTGTCTGAGGTCCAACTGACCTCACCTCTACCTGCTCAAATGTCTCGAGGATTTCTTTCCATGAGTCCGGAAAAGCCGCTCGGAACACCTTGTAGCATTCGGCTCGAATTGCTGGCGTAATCTGAGCAGCATCAGCTACCTCAATATTGCCAAGTCTTTGCAATTCCTGCTCTCGGTTCACTTTCAAGTAATGGCCGTACATGTTCCAATGATTGAATCCAGAATGAATGCGTCCATGAGCCTTGTGATACGCATGAGAGACTTGCTGCAAAGGTAAGCCGGTTTTTGCGGCAAGGTCGTTGAATATGTCGTCGATAGCTTTGAAATTCTCCTCCAATAGTGCATTCACCTCATCTGTCCTACGGCCAACCAGCGCACCAGCCGAAGATTCTCCTGCATCGTCATTACTTAGGAGAGCATCTTCTCCGGAAAGCTGAGTACCGAAGGAAGGCTGGTGTGGAGTCTTGGCAGGCGTGGGAGGGATGATTCATGTCTCTGGCAAATCCGTGCGACCGTCATACATATTGCGTAGACTGAAGTCCCCGCCCACAGGATCCCATGGAACATCAAGCGAGGAGAAGTCGAATGTAGCATCGGCAGTGAATGGATGATGTGTACTGTCGAACAGTAGTGGAAGTCCTTGCACTGAAGTCATCCATGGGAGGAAGACCTAGCACTCCGAGAGCATCAGTACTCGGTCCAGCGTTGAGTGGGGCAGCGTGGAGATCCTGCCCGCTGTTCAACCCCACAGGTGTGCGTGTTTCCTGCATGGTAGCAAGGGGAGGTTGTGGAAGGATAATGTCATGCTGAGGTTGCTGAGGAATGAAGGGAGGGGGAGGTTCACAGTGGGCCTGGTTGCGGATGGATGGTGTTAAGGTGAGGTTGCTGAGGAACGAGAGGAGGGGGAGGAAGTTCACGTGGGCCTGAAGGATGTCGCTGAGGTTCGCGTGATAATTCACGCGACACAGCTCGGCGTGGCAAATCACCATACAAGCCCTGCCTACCTTGCGCAAAGTTGCTTTGGAGCTCTTGCTGCAAGACGGGAGCAAGCCATTGTCCTGTCTCAGGCTGGACAGTGTTCAACGTCGGATTTTGATTTGAAGTATTGACTTCGCCACTCTCGTCCAGATGTTCAGTGAGCAGTTTAGCCCTCCTACCCTGCGCATTTTTGACAAGGCCAGAATCGCGGGCTGTTGGTTTAACGCGCGAGCGCAGTCGACTTGGAGTCTGGACGGCAGGAGGAGATACATAGCGACCACTGCCAAATTGCTCGGACTCAGGGTCAAGGGCCTCTGGACTAGAGCGTGACATTGCCAGGTTTCCTGTGCAGCAATGAAGATGAGGTAGAAGCGCTAAACGATGATGAGTACACTGATAGAGGTGTTATCAGCTGACGGATACCAACCTAGTGCACAAACCTACCAGGAAAATGACCTGTGAGACGACAAGGAGGGCAGGAGGCAGGAAATGCTCATGATGCCCCAGGCTTTCATAGTGCCTGAGCGCTCAACAAACATTGGGATTCACATAGTAAATTTGCGACAAAACATATGTACTGCAAAAGAAGAGAAGTTAAAAATCAAAACACCAGTTGCAGTCAAGACAACGACCTACAGCGGGACGAGAGAGGAACAAGAGGGTATAAAAGAAGTCAAAAGTCAAAATGCTGTTGCACCCGAGGCACTGGAGCATCTGAGGGCGCAGGAGGTTAGACAGACGGGAGGGGAGGAATGACAAAACTCGTTGAGAGTCGGGGACAGCCCGTGAGAGGCTTCGGAGGGTTGAAATGATGTTCAGGGATTATTACTTCATCCGACGTCGATTATCGATGGATTCATGGAAGCACAACACATCTTATCAATGTGTTGTCAATGTTCGTTCTTCCGCACTCCTCCCTCTTAAGCTCACCGTACATTGCTTACTCATGGATTTCACCCAGCTCGACTCTATACTCCGACGCGTGTCATCGCGCTACAAGGTGGACGAGCAGGTGGTGTTGGATAAGTGGATGGAGAAGCGAGAGGTCAGGGATCCTGAGGGATGGAGGGAGCTTGAGGGCATTCCTTGCATCGCTGGTGGTTTCACAGCGCTTCTCAGGTGAGTCACGGTTAAATCAAGATGAAGGACAACTAAATATTATACAGGGACTTTGGATGGACGAGGGGGAACCATCCTGTGGAAGACTCTGCCTAAGGTTCTAGCCCATCGTGGGTACATACTCGAAAACTACCCCGAGGGCATTCTCATGCCCGGCGAGAGACTCCAACAATCACGAGGAGCAAGGGCATACATGACCTCACCGCCCTTGAGCGCTTCCAGCTTGCGGATGCCCTCAAGAACAACACCCTCACCATCAAATCTATTCCAACACTGGACGCACGCCAAAGTCTCGCGAAATCACGTGCCCCTGTCATCGTTGGAGAAGCGCCCACTGCACATTCACCACACACTCACAGCCGACGAATGTTTGCCAATGGCCGGATAGATAGGCGTGGGTTGACCCGTCTGGGCAATACTTCTACTTCACCTAATCCGCGCAGACTCCGAGTCTTCGTAGAACTCCCACCTGCGCCTCCCTCCTGGAAGTTGAAGGCGACTCAACAGTCCCCCCATTGGACCCAGTCGCAGCCAGCTCATCCCACAGATCACCGTTATGAGCGCCGCCGAGGAGGAAGAACGAGAAGTTGATGTCGCCGTTATGACCGAGGACGAAGAACAAGAAGTTGATGAACTTGTCAGTATCGCAGCCTGCAGTTGTGAACTGTGAGCCTCTCGAGCTTCTCCCTCATCTCACCAAATTAATCTGACCTACAGGAGCCTCCGTTTCGCGAGCCTCATTTGCACACGCTCGCGCACAATTCAAACAAGACTATAGAATACCTACGCAGCAACTAGTTATACAAGTCTGGGGTCGCCCAGGGTTCCACCATTTCAATAGATCCTTGATCAATAGCATTTCTGAAAATTTCTTCCCCACTTGCGATGGAATCAACGCGAAAGTGAACAGCGCCAGGGACGCCCAGAACACAGTTAAGTGCATTTTCCCTATGTCAAAAATAAAATAAAACAAGCGCCTCAAATAAATTTGTGCTTACCAGCCTGCCACTAAACCGATGAAAGCCCCACGTGTCACACAGAAGACTTCTTGACTGGGGTTTGACTTGTACTGGAGTATTGTGACATTTTAATAAGCATACATTTTTAAAGCGACTCACCTGGAATATTGTAGAAAACGGCCTTGTAGACATGGAGGACAGACTCGTCTGCCAACGATCTCGCAGCATTGTCGTATCGAGGATGGTTCTTATTGATGACGGTGAGCTCTGGCTTTTCTGTGGAGAGCGCGCTATTGACAAAGATGACTACAGGCGAAGTGAAAACATGCTCGATGACGAACGGTATGGTCGTCGACATGGTCTGCTGGGGGAAAAAATCGTGAGAATCAGTAGAGCATGCTCAATGGTTGAAAAGGCTCATGGGAGGTAGGGACCTACTATCGCATTCGACTTGCCCAAAAGGATGGCATCGCGATCCACCTAAATCCGACGACAATATTGAAGAGAAGTCAGAAGTTAAAACACCGTTACAGTCAATATGACAACCTACTGAGGGATGGGAGAGGGACGAGGGGGACGACAGGACTATGTGAGGTTCACGTTGCACCCGAGGCACTGCGGCGGCACGTTGAGATGACTATTCTGCACGGCCAAATCTGATCAGCCAATCAGCGTATGGATAACAATGTTCATACATAAAAAACATGTCCCCATACCTCCAATGTACCCAAAAAAACATCTAGTGCACATATTAAGATGCTCCATGACATGCCGGTTCTAATGGTATTGATGCATTTTTAATTCAAATGGTATCTGGTCAAATAAACCAACTCTCAAACGTTGCCCACTCATTCGTTTCAATTGCTTTAGACTTCTTTAGACTCTTACCTCTTTACCTATGGGGCGGAGAGCAAAACACCTCACTCTCACTGATAAAACCGCTGCAACACGTCAACACACAGCAAAGTATAGTCGATCCGATAGGTCCAGAGAACTCTTGCTTTCCGTATTTCTTATCTAAGTACTAACACTGTGCGTACAGAGGTAAAAACACTCGTCGACTTTGGAATTCGCGCACATATGCCAAAGCCCACAGTCGAAAGGGTTCGACAAAGTCCCTTACTCATGCTTCCAAATCACCCACTCTTGATTCCAATGTTGAGCTGTCATCCCTTCCATCCTATTTAATCAACCTCGCAAGAGCAGATCTTCCAGACACCTACCTATTTCAACAAGCATCACAAAGCGCTGACAACCTTGACGAATCAGATCTTGCGCAATGGGATATTGATCCACCATACCACACTCCTCGACCTTTGGACACCCCAGCAGAAGCTCGCTGGACAGAAAACCTTGTCCAGGTGATCCATGGTCGATGATTTCGAATGGAGAAGGAGGAAGTCTATGAGCGTGCTAAGAGGCACAGTTCAGGGGGAGCGCTGGATCTTTGTGCCGAGTTGAAGGAAGGTCTTGATGTACTCCTGAGGCAGTGGGCAATGTTGGACGAGTATGTTGATGGTATGGAAGATTGCGAGAGACACTACGTGATGGCTCAGTGCCTCCTACAGTGGCGTGCTCGAAGAATCTATCGTTATCACAACGAAGTGCACGCGATGATGACGGGATCGAATCCATATGCATTGGACAGTAGTATTATCTAGTTAGAATACAGGAATTTGAAGCACAAGTGTTCTGAGATAATATCGAAACATGTGCATGTCTCCCTCTCCAAGAGCCGTGCAGTGGTACCCATGCAGTGTCGCCGCAATCATGGCAAGCACCCAGACACCGCAGTCAAAGCTGTTTGTCTGGAGTGCATCAGTCTATGACATATAAGATGAGGCCGTGTTTCGCACCATCAAGGTTGTGACTATACTTACCACTAGAGGACGTGCGAGCCATCCATCGATGTCGATGTTGACATTAAAAATACGATCATGTTGTTGAGCGATACTCAGAAGACGAGCGATTAATTTCATGATGTCCTGGATGAATTTAGTCATGCAAAAATCTATTAGAGGAAGCTCACGAACCTTGGTGTCACTTTTCCATGGCTTCCGCTCAGCGAAGCTGTCGAAGAGATGGAGTTCCTTGCTTCGAAGGTGAATGATGCATAGAACCCAGTGGCCGACATCTGAAGGCCTATGGATGGGAAGAATCCACACCTCTTTCGTCCAGTAAGATGTCCATGACATATTGCGCCATAGAACATCATCAGGGGCATTGTATCGGATGCGCGGGAGGTCGTGGGTTGAAAGGATGGCATACTGTTCAGCCATTGGAGATAATTGCACCGCCTCTAAGTAAAGAAGAACTGCACACCCATTAATGCAGCTGTCGTTGAGTAGTGCAGTCCGAGAAGCAAGAAGTGCGATATCCTTTGGCTCAAATACTTGACGAGGACATCCAAAGCGAGGTGCAGATACTCGTTCTTTGACGGTGCCTGGAATAATGATCCCCGCTTCTGGAAGAGGTGTTCGGTCGAATGTGATGTCCTAGAAGACTCGTAAGCATAAACTATAGTGTGAACAGTAGAAAAATCATGCTACTTCAGGGATTCGCCAACAAAGTTCGGCTCCGGGATCATTCACGACGATGTCGATATCATCATCCTCACAACCAGGGACTCCGGCAGTCAGAATGTCCACAAGGGCAGCATCTTCAGGTTGCAAAGCTGTGTGATCGGCGTCAGAAAATGTTTCTGATCCAGGCTCTTCGTCTTCGGTAGGTACAACATAAGAGACAGCATACGTATTGATCCAATGAAGCGGACGCTCCTCTGAGACGCCTGAGAGCTTCCGGGCCAAAGATACAGCATCAGTTGCGCGAGATGCAAATCGTGCCGCAGATGCAAGTGAGGTCGTCCAACGAGTCTGGATGTACTGAAGGTGCTCCTGTTGCTGGCGAAGTGGGACAAGGAATTTTTCATCTGCAAATGCACTGTGAGATCAGACAAGAACAAGGGAAGGTATGATACTTACAACCTGGTGTCAAAAGGGCGAGTTCTAGTGCTGAGAGCTCGTCGCCGAACCATCTGCAGAGATTGTCCGCCTCCAGACCAAGACGTTGCTGCTCTTCAACACATCTATCTCTCTTCAACATTGCACGAATGCCATCGCGAACGTCTTGATCATCCAACCAGCGGGGACCTTTCCAGTGGAAGGTGTGATCCATATATCTTCCATCAAACTCTGATCGTTGCGTAGGTCGGCTAGTCTTGTCGGGAGAGGTGTGGGAAGAGGAATCCCGCAATGCGGATCATAAAGGGCTTCCAGACGCTCACAATAGGCGTTGAATTTACGGAGAGCAGCCATTAATGCTGGCTGGCGTTTTGCGATCGCTTTTCGAGTCTGTTGGTGGAGTTTTGTACCTAATACGCAACATCAGGTCAAGTTGTTCAAATTCATATTTCACCTTACCGAGTGCTTGCTGTGACCCTCCTACTGCACGATCAAGCTTATCCCACTCGAAGAAGCTGCCAATGGCACGCTTGCGAATGTTCATCTTGAGATCGCATGCTAATAGCAGTGTTCGAACAAACTCGAGGTTCAAGCCGTCTAGTTCCGGGAACCTGTCCTGAACGTTGAGCGAAGCATATAATACTTCCACTTTGTGCATTAGACGCTCATGCACTCGTTCAAGACTTTCAATTGCATCACGGGTGTCCTCCGACATCTCACCTTTCGCAATTGTGTCCCTCGTTGTCTGTAGAGCTTTGTCCGAAGCATCAAGGTCCTGCTTGCAGAGCAAGGACGGTGTCCAGCTCTTTCTTGAGACGAGCCTGGAGCATCTATGCCAGAACATCAGGAGGGCCACGATGATCGCGAGGAACTTTACATACGAGCGCAGGATTGAAAGCTGTGACTCCTTCTGCATTGCCCATTCTTTTCGCAAATCACTCACGGCAACTTCACACTCCTCGAGAAGCTTCCGTGCAGCTGTACCTTGATCCTCCACACCACAGCCTGAGTCGTCGCCTAATCCAGTCCCCGAGATCAGGCACGCATCTCAAGACCAATTGCTCCAGCGTGCCGATCGATTAACCACAGACGACGTTGTCTCTGTTGTGTGAATGTGAGCAGAATTCGAAACAACACACGAGAACTACCGAAGATGACCGCTGTATGCCGAATCAGTCGAACGAATCTTGACCAAAGTCTCTCCTGTCCCCTCACCATCGGACAAGCCCAGACCAACAATCATTCGCGGATTGTAAACGAGCTGACAAGCCCATTCATGACCAGTAGGCTGTGCATTGCAGTAGTTGCAAACCGTAAGCGTTGTATGATAGAGTCTGGCAAGATGTCATACTATTGACAATTAATGTCAGTTCAATGCGACAGGCGAACGAATTAAGACTGACCTGATTTAACGAGCGTGATAGGACACACCCCACATCATAGAGAGTGACGACAGTAGCACTCCGAGGTAGCAATGAAAAGAGATGGTTGATCAATGCAACCGAGTATTTTTGTTGCTCACCAGGACTGTCGATATTAGCAAAAAATAAGGGTATGTCATGGCGGCAGATCAGCGCCATGAGTCCCATATCGTCAAAACTATCCATAGCTGCCTTTTGCTTCTTGCCATCTGCTGCTTCGTAGGAATTCTCACACAGATCGATCGCCTCATTTGGCACATGCGATACGTGCAGCTTAGGCAGCGGACTTGCGACTTCGAGTGATGTGATGACCGATAGCGTCGACCTGCACCTTTGGAAGGAAATAAGAAGGGTCGTAAAAATGTGGTGAATCTCCCGCTGAACGCCGGTGTCGATGGTAAAATTTTCCGTCAGTAGCAACATGGATATCACCCCCTTTATTCAAGTCTCGGCCAAATTGAACACCCCCAAAACAAGCTGGACAGCGTTGTATGAGGATGGGAGCGCAGCGCTCCCGCAGTCCCTTCTCTTCTCTGGCTCCAGGTGATTGCGGATGCGCAGGAGTCGCTCACGAAGCTTCTACACGATCACGACACGTTTGTAAGGCCGCTTCTAACTGGTGCTCGACCTCTATCTGTAGGACGTCGAACCACTGAATAGCATAACCTAGACTCCGGCGGAAAGGTTCTTGAATAATTTCACCCTGGTTCATTCATGTGAGTAGCTGAACAAGTATCCAAAGTCAACAAACACGTACCTTTGCAT